GGTAACGATTCCTCTGGCCTCCCTCTGATTCTAGAGATACTGGAATGGCTAAACCTTATTGGGTAACGTGGCCATAAGGTCAGTTTCTGCTGGGTACCAACACAGGTCAGACAGTCAGAGGCCACCGCTTCCCATTCAACCTGTGCTTCAACCAATCCCTAACTGGGATATACGTCCTGGGATTAAAACTGCCGTATGTTACTCCTGGCAGCGTTGTTGGGATGGCTGGGCTTCCATTGTTGGCCAAACAAGCTCTGGAAATCACAACAGAGATACGTTCCTACACTTTTCTCTAAATGCCATACAGGTGGGAGACAACCCTGACTAAGCTTTTCATTGGCCACTCTGGGATGACAGAGTCACTTGATGGTCAGAAAGCCCCAACTAGTATGTGATGACTGAGTAATCCCCTTGACTATACCTAGACCACTTGCTGGTAGAGTGCCCCAGTCTGGGGACCTGAGGAGGTGGCATCACTCCAGGCCTCAGGTAACTGCCGTCTGTCCTTGGTTTATTTCCAAAGATGGAGTTTTATTTTTATTTTTTTTTAGAATATTATATGATTACACCATTATGTATTTTATCAATTGTTTTATTTTACATAAATTTTAAATAGAGAACCAATTTTTTTTAAGAGAATCTGACTTCGATAAACTCATAAACTCAAACTGCTACGACACCAAATGTAATAAATCCAATTATATTCACATCAACCAGCCTTCACCCATGCTCACGTCCTCTCCCATATCCTGGTCTACTCTCAAACCCACGCCCGCCAGCCACACTCCTTCACCCATGCCCAACCGCGCTCACTTCCATTCTTAAGCCCTCTTCCCCTCTAAATCCCACGCCTCCTTTCACAACCACGCCTCCTCTCTCACCTACGACACCTCTCACCCACGCACCTCTCACACCCACGCCTCCACCCACGCCTCCTCACACCCATGCCTTCTCACACCCATGCCTCCTCACACCCACGGCACCTCTCACACCCACGACACCTCTCACACCCAACTCCTCTCACACCCACTCCACCTCTCACACCCACTCCACCTCTCACACCCACTCCACCTCTCACACCCATGCCTCCCTCCATTCACTCCCACGCCAGCTCCCACTCCTTGCCTAACAGGAAGCAGTACGTTTAGTTTAATGACTGTCAATGTGATCCCCCCCACCTGTCTTGTGTGGTGTTCCGCGTGGCTCTACCTTGGGACCTCTTTTGTTCATGTTGTGTGTGAGTGACATCTGTAGACGCCCAGACCTACTGCTGACATGTTAATAGCGAGGACATTTGCCTACGTAAAAAGATATTTCGGTCATCTACTAAAATAAGATTAAGAGCATATTAGCAAGGGATCAGGTGAAGATTAGACACCCTAGCTTATTTCACTTAAGGATTAAACAGTCTAATGCTAACCTAACCTAAAATAACCCAACCTAAGCCTAAAATAACCTAATCTACCATCAAAAAACCATGAAACACTGAGCATCGATTCGTACCTTTAAGATACAAAAAAAAAAAAAACATCGACCCAGTTTTAACTAATCCTACACAATAACTCTCTCTGATATAGTCCCATCATAAACTCATTGAAACAAGAGCTGCACCAACTTGTACTCTACATAAACACAAACTGTTGCAATTTACTGTATTTTGAGAATGTCCAGAAAAAGACGAGGAGGGAGGGAGGAAGAAAGAAAAGGAAAAGATAAGTTAGTGTTGGTCCGTGCGGGAGAAAGTTTACAAATGTTTCAGGTAAAATATTATCATGTGGTTGTGGCAATGGAGTAAATTCTCACCAGTGTACGAGGCTGATGTAATGTAATTATAAGGCTCTCTCACTGCTGGTAATGTTTCCCCCCTAGTTACTCAGACTGTGTGTGTGTGTGTGTGTGTGTGTGTGTGTGTTTTATTTATCCTGGTAGTAAAGTGAAGCTGGGATATACTGTACATATGTTTAGTAATTGTATATGCTAATATTACTCTCTCTCTCTCTCTCTCTCCTCCCTCTGGCATCCTGTCCTTGAGTTATTTTGGGGACAGACAGACAGACAGACAGACAGACAGACCCTATCCTGCAGTTACAGAGTGATAACTTCATTATAACACAAACTAACTTAACTTAACCTCATCTAAACTAATTTAGGCAATGAAACAACATAGTTTAGCATATAAAGACCAATTTCCTTCAAACGTTGGCTGTGTTATTGTTGATAGAGATAATACAGTAGGTATAACTGAGGGAGTGTGTGTGTGTTGGGGCGATATACACTACACTACACTCAGGAATTTACCAAGTGTGAGGTAAAGACACTGGCACCAGGGAAGATTATCACAAACAACAGACCATTTCTCGGGGTTGTGATGTCAGACACTGTTATGGTGGAGTAACGTCTTCACACGGCGATAATTTTATCCGGAAATATAACTGTTTAGTGTTATAACCATTAGATGATATATCACGACGAAATAACTCATATAGAACACAACAACAATAGTTAAATACAGAAGAAACTTGCGAAGATAAACTAAAACATTACGTAAAACAAGTCAGTTGGTTACGTTAAAAAAAAGTCTAAGGAGAATAAATGAAATGTTTGTTTCATAAAAGTGATATAAGTCTAATTTGTTTATATGTTAAAAGACGCACGTATCACCCAAGCGGACGTTACTGAGTGAAAAACTGTACTGTAGACGTTGTGCTGTCGAGCTTCGGCTAAATTCTGTGGGCGAACAACGATCCCTGAGATGAAGTACCGCGCGAGAACGGGAGGTGGTAGTCAGTGTTGGCAGATGGCAGAGGCAGACGACCTCGTGAAGAGCCTTACTTACAGTGCGAGTTGATTTACCTATAAGTGTCGTACAAGACGTGAAGTAGTGGTCGTGTATCGTTCATCACACCACCAACACGTGAAGACATAACAGTTCACGTGGGAGACAGACGGTGTTGTGGACGACTGAACCTCACAAAACACTTCTTGAGTTTTTTTTTCCAATACTGACACTCACTCGTTCCAGGTGAGATAATTTCATATAGTTTACCTTTTAGCAGCAGTCGCCACTTTAACAGGTGATTAATTCCTTGAAACAGGTGAAGGTCAGAACATAGAAAAAGGATTTATTACTATTTTCACACACACACACACACGCACACGCACACGCACACACACGCACACACACACACACACACACACACACACACACACACACACACTACTCACCCAGACAGACGGTGAGGGTGGCCAGAATGAAACAGGTGACAGCAGCAGTGCACATGAGACCATCTTGACACACTCAGGTCATGGTGGTGATCAAGTGAGGAGGATGAGGAGAGAGCTACAGTGTCTCAGCTTCACCATATATCACCTCACTATATATATCCACACTATATCCTAAACTATACACAGCTTATCTATAACTTATTTCCTAATAGGGGCAATATAGCCTAAAACAACACAACACATACTATAAATAGTTTTTCTTTGTTTTTCTTGTTTTGCAGCGTTGTTAATCTAATAGAGCTGTTCTATAGTATTTTATGGGATATATTAATTCATGTTTATTGGTCACTGTGCACTTGGTGGTCCGTCCGTCCGTCCGTCCGTGAGTGTTTTTTTATTATTATTATTTAATTTTTTTACTTTTTACATTTTTGGGGGTAAGGCGGTGTTAATGTTTCGTCTCCACTCTGATGTGTTGTGTGATCACGCCTTAGACTGTCAGGATAGAGTAACCTATTAGAGTAATCTTCTAGAATAGCCCATTAGAGTAAAATATATAGAGTAACCCATTAATGGAGCTCATTAGAGTAACTCTTTAAAGTAATGTTCAAGAGTAGCCTGTTAACGTAGCCCGTTAGAGTTGCCTATTAAAGTAATTAGAGTAATTCATTAAGAGTAACCCATTAGAATAGCCCATTAGAGTAGTCCATTGCAGTAGTTTTGTAGAGTAACCCATTAGAATAGTCCAGTAGGGTAGTTCTGTGAAGAAGTCACCTATAGTGTTCCTGAATAATAGTCTTCTAGTATAGTCCTCTAGAATAGCCCATTAAAGTAGTTATATAGTGTAGCCCATTGGAGAAGTTATATAGGGTAGCTATTTAGAGTAGTCCTCTAGAGTAGCCATTTGAAGTAGCTCTTTAGGGTATCTAACCACCGTAGCCCTCCTTTAGGTTATTACTAAATAATAGTTGTCTTCTAGAGTAACTCACAAGAGTAGTCTGTAAGATAGCCCTCTAAAGTAGCTCATTATTATAGTCTTCTAGAGTAGCCCACTAGAGAAGTCGTCAAGAGTAGCTCACTAGAATCATCATCTAGAGTAGCCCTATCTTTAAAAGTAGTCATAAAGTAGCCTACAAGAGAGGTCCTCAATAGACTGGTACTGTATGTTAAGAGTGGACCACTTGGTGAGCCCTCGTCTAGAGTAATCCACTATGGTAGTCTTGCTAGATTAGTCCACCTGTTTAGTCTGTTAGAGTAGCCCATGAGAGTAGCGTGAGGTAATAGTCCACTAGAGTAGTCCGCCAGAGTAGCCCCCCCAGGCCTACTCTGGAGCGTGTCACTGCAGTAATCCAGATAAGCGCGCCACAAGAGGTCCACTAGAGTATCCCGGTAGTGTGGGAGTCTGTAGGGTAGAGCTTAGAGGAGTGGCTGGGAGCTCGGCCTGTGTGGGACAGTGAGTGAGAGTGAGTGAGTGAGTGAGAGGACTGCCCGCCACCACCACCCGCACGCCACCAACACCACACGCCTACTGAGGCTACTCACCCACCCGCGCCACCACCACCACCACCACCAATACCTCCCTCCTCCACCACCACCATCACCACCACTACCAGCAACACTACTACCACCATCCGCGCCACCACCACCACCACCACTGGGCAGGGAGGACAGTGGTGTGGCCGGGTAATGTGTATAGGGGAAGGGTCCATGAGCCACGACTGTGATGAGTGCTCAGAGTGTATCGTGAGTCGTGACAAGTTCCTCTGGGTTCTCACCAGCATCGGAATCGCCTCTTGTGACACTGTTGATCGTCTTGTCGTAAAAGCTACCCACGAAGAGGACGTAGGAGCCTCCCTCGGCCTTTACCTCAACCTTCTCTATTATCGGACACACACTGCGCAGCGTAAGGCCTTCGACGACCACTGGACTAGTCTTAAATTTCAGGTGAGCCTCACACTGCGCTATTACGACGCAGTTGCTGATGTTGCCATTTGTCAATACAATGAATATCTACCCTGACTCGATATCAACAGATTGTGTAAGAAAGATTGAGCCTTATAATTATCTGGGTGCTACTGGGAGTACATGGCAACACTAAGCCTGGCCGCACTGTATGTAAACTTTGTGGGCCACCCGCCTCTCATACCCTCTCCCTCTCCCATCCTGGCATATCTCGAAACTTCCTCCTACAGGTCCCCAGCCTTCACCATCACGTCGTCCCTCCATGACCAACCATCCCTCCTTCTCCTTCACACTGGCCTGACACTTGACATTATCGGGACCAATCTTGATCTTTTATAAACATATGAACTCGTCCCTGTGTACACAACTTCCTTCACTACAACCAATCATCTCTCCGCCACTCACCTCCACTAATCAAGTTAAGACAGCAAGAATTAACTTCTCTTGTATCGTTGTTGTATACCTGTAATGTAAAAATCACCCTTGCACTCGATGCAAGGTGATGCATAATTAATGGGGTAGGTCCCGCACCTATGTGTATCAATTCTGGAATCTGGTGGTGTAGTATTAGTCAGCCTCCAGACACGACACCCATGTTCAAACGATAACCACAGTGTGTGTGGTGATGTACGATGTATCCTGAAACATTTATTATACAACATCATAGACACAGTTAATAATGTTTGGATAATTTACCAAGATTAGTTACTTATAAGTCCCTCTATTGTGACAACTGGTAAAGGTATTGATTGATTATTATGTTAGTGTGTAGAAATAACGCAGATTGTGTTGAAGAGATGCAAAGAATAGCGGAAATTATACAAAAATAACATAAGAACACAACTGCTGAAGGAATTTGAAAGAAGAATAGAAGTCGGGGTAATAAAGTGAACACAGATAGACGAAATGCAGCTTGATTTCATGTCTGGTAAAAAGAATAGATACGACAATCATGGTGGGGGAATACTGTAGAGGTGTTGACGGGGGATCTAACGAACTCATCAGGGAAGGAGCTAAGGAAATTGTAAGGACAGGAAGGGGACTCATAGAAGGATTTGTAGTTAGAACAGGATCTTAAGCCCATATCTGTTTGTAAATGGACGTCTTGAGTGATGACCTATGTACGAGAGGCGGTCCTGTAGGAATTATCGTTCATGCTTCACCGGGAGAATCAACTCATGAAGAGGAATTACAAGCTACTGTATTTGATTAAAATGGTAGGAACCACAGAGCAGCTGCAGGTTAGCTCACAGTTCACTCCACCTTAAGATTAACCATCCTAACGCTATCCTAACCTAACTGAACTTAATCCCCCAGGTAGCGTTCAGGTGATTAATCATCAGGTGACATAAGCTGGGGGGGCCAACCTTCGGGTAGTTATTGAACAACTAGTAAGAAAAAAACTGAAAGTCAAGACAAGAAAAACAAAAGTGATGTTGAGGAGCAGATGCGAGAGAGAGAGAGAGAGAGAGAGAGAGAGAGCCATCACAATCCTACACAGGAGAGGAAGTGAGTTTAATCAAGCGACAAAGTTGACGCACCTGGGCTCAACTTTGAGTGAAGGAGGAGGTTGTGAACTGGAAATCAGGGAAAAGTGTTAACTCAGGATGGAATAAATGGAAGCGAGTTGTAGTGATCACATCTGACAAGACATTGGCCAGGAAACTGAGAGTGAAATATATAAGACTACCAGGGGGGTACCAGGCGTTGGTCGGGTTTGTTTTTGATAAAGTAAAGGTAACCGGAATAGGCAGAGCTACACAGTCCATCAACGTCGCCTGACAGTAACCAGGTGGCACCAGTGTCCATGTTGGGCTTCCTGCACGATAACTTCTGTGTGTGGTGATCTGTTTTACCGTTGTTTTAGGGTTTTTATCCGTTGTTTAATGTTGTTTTGATTATGTAATGAATGTTGTAATTTATAATAGGGTTTTTAAATCACTGGGTTGGGTAAGAGGGTGTTTTGTGTCACGTGAGTGTTGGTGCGGTACAGTAGGGTGTTGATGTGTCTGACGGGTCGGTAAGGGGGTGTTGACAGTAGGGAAATGTTACCGTACTTTATAGACCCCGGCACTCTCTCTCTCTCTCTCTCTGGCCAACTCCTCCAAACGTCCACCACCGGAAATGTTTGGGGTTATGGCAACTCTCTCAGGTAAACATCCAGATGGTATAGCCAAAATATTATCATCTGATCTGGGGTCATGCTAACAATGGCTCTAGACAACAAATTAACTTTACATCTTGGATAACAAAAAGCCACAAGAGTAAACGAATTCAGTGTACTGTATTAAGTAACCTCAGTAAGCACCTTGGGCTAACTTTTAACTCTTGCGTATCTGGTCAGCTAACCGTACATTATGTAGTAAATAAAAGTAATTCTGAGGTAAAATTCCTTAATAGAAATGTTAAATGCCTCCCCGCTGATGTACGTAACGTAGGAACCTTTGCTTGGTGTTCAAACAATGTCACTTGGACTTTTCCTGCTCGGCATGGTACTCTGCCCTAATACAGTATCTAAAAAAAGCCAGAGATCGCGTTGGTTACGAAGTCCTACAGTCAGTGGATATGTTAAGTGTGGCAGAAAGAGTGAAGCAACTGAGGCTAAATCACACTTATACTGTATTTTCAACGGACTGCGCCCAGTGTCGAACAACTAACTTTGTATAGGTCAGGGCACTAGAGGGAGTGAACACAGTTTTATAATACCTGCAGAGTCTATATAGCCTATATGTCAAGGTAATTGTAAACCCATGATGATTTGACTGAATTAATATTGTTCCCTGTAGTCCGAGCTCCACTACCTGAGTTACAAATCTCAGAAAGTCGTACGTTGATTACCTGACCTCGATGTGGATGAGAGAACGCATCTAGTTACTGCCAGTTGTCGTAGCTTATAGGAGCCATGTTAAGTCCTCACGTCATCACTTAAGGGAAAAAATATAACATACGGTTTTTTTCACATTCTGGTTCGTGAATTCTCCTACGAAAGAAAAACCTCAATAATGTATAATTCCCGCAAAACCCAGCGATTCATTTTCACGCAGATATTGGAAATGTTTTTATGGCAGACTTTTTTTTTTTTAGGAAGTAATTTGTGGGTTACGAGTGTTGGCTCGTTCAATAGGTCAAAGAAGACTAAACTGTGGGGGAGTTTCAGATAGCGGACGAACGAGGTGGTAATTGAGCCTGCAATTTATTGGGCAGATAAGAGCGGAACGACGGGACTTGGGTGATCCGGAGGGCAAGAGGAGAGAGGTGGGGGGGACCTACAGGCACCTGGAGTCTGGGACCTGCAGGAACCTGGAGTCTTTGAGAGATACAAGGGGAAACCGTTGTGTATCACGGGGAATACTATAATTGCAACGCCCGAATGACACCTTGGTGATCAGGTTGTTGAGAGAGTTGCTGGGAGCTGCGACAGTTTCCGCCAAATGGCCAGTTGCGAAGTGTCCCCCAGAGAGAAGCTGTGGGTCGTAGAGGATGGGACGACGACAGTGTGATCATTGGTTGCGTCTGAGCGGCCTGATGCTTCATTATTGTATTAAGTGAGCCTCCATAATGTTGCCTTCATTCATTACTGATTTGACGATTGAATGAAAGAATAAAACTTATGAACGTGTGATATTTTGATTGAGAAAACAGGACGTATGGTCAAAGTTTACTGAATACTAACATCCGTCGCCTCCCCTTGTGTGTGTGTGTGTGTGGTTAAAAGTGTCAGGCTTCAGTGACCTTCAAACACCAATATTAGGTGCCATGGCTAAGACTTATACCACATGTGCTTATGGCTTAGTCATAGCTTATATTACCCTAATATGTCTATTGGTTTACCCTGGCTACCACTACACCACACCACCCAGCACTACACCACACACCACCCTGGCTACCACTACACCACGCCACCGCCCTGCTAGCACTACACCACACCTCCCCTGGCTACCACTACACCAACCCCGGCTACCACTACACCACACCACCCCTGGCAGCCTAGGATTATACCAGGTGAGGTGTGAGACTTTGACGTGTGAAAGTGGCGCCATTTGAAGCTCACTTGTCTCAATTAGTTGGTAATGAATAAGAAAATCCTCCTCCAGGGGAACTTTTCTGAGTTAATGGTGGCTTACTGGTACATCTCCAGGCCAGGCAGGCAGGGGGGGCAGGGGTTGAATGGAGGGAGGTAGAGAGAAAGAATGGAGGGTAGGTGGGGAGAGAGGGAGGGTGGAGGGTAGAGGCAGGGAGAGAGGGAGGTGGAGGGTAGAGGTAGGGGAGAGAGGGGAGGGTGGAGGGTAGAGGCAGGGAGAGAGGGAGGGTGGAGGGTGAGGCAGGGAGAGAGGGAGGTGGAGGGAGGAGGTAGGGGAGAGAGGGAGGGTGGAGGGTAGAGGCAGGGAGAGAGGGAGGGTGGAGGGGAGGTGTAGAGAGAGAGGGAGGGTGGGAGGGTAGAGGGGAGGAGAGATGGGTGGAGGGTAGAGGTAGGGAGAAGGAGGGAGGTAGGGAGAGAGGGAGGGTGGAGGGTGAAGGAGGAGAGAGGGAGGGTGGGAGGGTAGAGGTAGGGAAAGAGGGAGGGTGGAGGGTAGGTGTAGGGGAGAGAGGAGGGTGGAGGGTAGAGGTAGGGAGAGATGAAGGGTGGAGGGTAGGTGTAGAGAGAGAGGGAGGGTGGAGGGTAGAGGTAGGGGAGAGATGAAGGGTGGAGGGTAGGTGTAGAGAGAGAGGGAGGGTAGAGGGTAGAGGTGGGGAGAGAGTGAAGGGTGGAGGGTAGAGGTAGGGAGAGAGGGAGGGTAGAGGTAGGGAGAGAGGGAGGGGGAGGGTAAAGGTAGGAGAGATGAAGGGTGGAGGGTAGGTGTAGAGAGAGGGGAGGGTGGAGGGTAGAGGTAGGGAGAGATGAAGGTGGAGGGTAGGTGCAGAGAGAGAGGGGAGGGTGGAGGGGTAGAGGTAGGGGAGAGAGGGAGGGTAGAGGTAGGGAGAGAGGGAGGGTGGAGGGTAAAGGTAGGAGAGAGGGAGGGTGGAGGGTAGAGGTAGGGAGAGATGAAGGGTGGAGGGTAGGTGCAGAGAGAGAGGGGAGGGTGGAGGGTAGAGGTAGGGAGAGATGAAGGGTGGTGGAGGGTGGGTGTAGAGAGAGAGGGAGGGTAGAGGTAGGGAGAGAGTGAGGGTGGAGGGTAAAGGTAGGGAGAGAGGGAGGGTGGAGGGTAGAGGTAGGGAGAGATGAAGGGTGGAGGTAGAGGTGGAGAGAGGGAGGGTAGGAGAGGGAGAGAGGGAGGGTGGAGGGTAAAGGTAGGGGAGAGATGAAGGGTGGAGGGTAGGGTGTAGAGAGAGAGGGAGGGTGGAGGGTAGGAGGTAGGGGAGAGATGAAGGGTGGAGGGTAGAGGTAGGGAGAGAGGGAGGGTAGAGGTAGGGAGAGAGGGAGGGTGGAGGGTAAAGGTAGGGAGAGAGGGAGGGTGGAGGGTAGAGGTAGGAGAGATGAAGGGTGGAGGGTAGAGGTAGGGAGAGAAGGAGGGTAGAGGTAGGGAGAGAGGGAGGGTGGAGGGTAAAGGTAGGAGAGAGGGAGGGTGAGGTAGAGGTAGGGAAAGAGGGAGGGTGGAGGGTAGGTGTAGGGAGAGAGGGAGGGTGGAGGGTAGAGGTAGGGAGAGAGGGAGGGTAGAGGTAGGGAGAGAGGGAGGGTAGAGGTAGGGAGAGAGGGAGGGTGGAGGGTAGAGGTAGGGAGAGAGGGAGGGTAGAGGGTAGAGGAAGGGAGAGATGAAGGATGGAAGGTAGAGGAAGGGAGAAAGGGAGGAAGGAGGATATATGCAGGAAGAAATGGTTGAAATAGGCATCTGTCAGTGTAGAGAGTGTGAGTGTTGCAGCAAAACATAAACACATCCACAAGTGTCAGCTCCTCAACACAAGAGTCCCGCTGGCGAAGATGAAGTATGGGATGAGGGACTTGAGGGTCAGTCACTTGGTTCATTAAGAAGTCAATGTGTTCCTGTCTCCTAGGTGTTCTTGTGTTCGTAGGGAGGGTTGAATTGACGTGTTCTCTTCAGTTAGGTTGTTGGTAAGTTCGTGTCCTTCATTGTCATAATTGTCTTAGATAATAGAATCACTGCGGACGGGTAAAGGGTCGTGGATTGTTATAATGTACGGTGGTTCGATTCTTGGACACCCCAGGTCACCCAACTGTAAATGGGTACCTAAGTTGCCTCCTTGTGTACCCAAGGCTTAGTATACTGTACAGTGTGCTGTATCCACACTGTCCCTAACTGGCAATCATGCCTATGGGACCACTTTCATTTTTCACTGTTTCGTTATTAACAATCAGGTGCTTAATTGACATCTAAAACATAAAGGTGTCCTTTTAAGCTCACAATTTTATATTCTTTTGTTTTCTCGAGATTTTCACTGAAACGTTTTATTAAATGGATAGAATGCAAATCCGATGGGGGGAATCAAGGCAAACGGTTTTAAATTAACTGTACTTAATAAGCAGCTAAAAAACCTAATTTAGTTGGTTCATATCCAAATAAACAATAATGATCATTCATGTCTCCCTTACCACCATTTTTCTTTTGGTCGATGTAAGAAAGCTTTTATCTTCTAAGGGCGAAACACGGTCGTCAAACATTACCGTAATAATCTTATCTGAAATATTGGAGAAGCTGAGAATATTTCCAATAATAAACCAAATCATCGGAAGCGGCCAAACAAACAACAGTAATAAAGAAAACGACTCGAGGCTCCCAGTGCCGGACGTCACGGTAAAACACTCACCAAACACCAACACCATCCTAGGTAGTGAGTCACTGTAATTATTATTATTATTTTTTAACTTTCCGGGGCAGGGGGGGGGGTGAGGGGTAAGATGCCCTTATATATTAGCGCTAGATCCTGTGGTGGCATCAGAACTAAGCATCATTATGACCTTTCACGGATTTACCTCCTTAGCACCAGTGTGAATTCCCAGTGTCATAAATCCTCTTCTACAAAACCTTGCCTGGACAGACATCATCCCTCTTCCATTTCCTAAGTTCCTAATCACACACAGGAATATTCTAAACAATTTGATTATAAAAAAAAAAAAAAATGACGACATGTTGCAACTCAATCCGCAAAGCTTCCGGCGGACATGGTTCACTTGGTGTTCACTTTGAAGTTCATTTTGTTTTGATATTTTGTTCCATTATATATTAAAGTAAGTCTGAAATATGACAGTGATTTGTAGTTAAGGTCGTGTGATAAATACCAGCATATAGAATAAAGGTCGGTGTGTGTGTGTGTGTGTGTGTGTGTGTGTGTGTGTGTGTGTGTAGCGCGTTGAAGGTGGGTGCCGCTGCCGTGTGTGTTGATGTATACAAACCCCCATTCATTGTTGTGTGTGGTGTGACGGAGAGCAGTAGTCTGAGCGGTGTTCCTATAGAGTCTTTGGTCGTCTCGATAATTGAAAGTAAGTAAAAAAAAATAAAGTTATATTATTTATATTTACTGTGTATATTTTATCACAATTTCAACTCGGATTATTCAACTCTTGATTTCGGATCGTTCTGGGAGTGGTACAAGTTCTCCGTTGGCCAAGTGTCTCACCAAGAGTAATTTGTTTAGGAACTGGGAGGTAGTGTTAAGGTAACCAGTCCTCCCCCCAATAACCGAACCTTACCTATGTTTTGTTAGTTTGGTTTGGTTTGGTTAGGTTAGGTTTGGTTAGGTTCAATGTTTTGTTAATTTACACTCAGTTTGGTTATAGTTCGTTTATTTTTTTTTCTTTTTTAATTAAGGTGAAATTTAGATATACTGTATGTTCAGTGTTACGATATTTCAGCTTTTTTTTATTATATATCGATAATATTTTACCTTATAAATGTCACGAGCAGCGGGGATTATTTCGACATTGCGGTAATTTAAATATTTATATATTTTTTTCTCGAAAGTTTATGCTGGTCAGTATAAAGACGACCGAACAACCATAAACCTAACCTAACCTATCCTAACCTAATCCAACCTATTCTAACCCAACCTAACCCAACCCAACCCAACCCAACCTGAGCTAACCTAACCAATACCAGGACAGATTTATCTTGTGTAGCCAAACAGTCCGTCACGTGTTATGGGATGATAAAAAAGTGAAAATTTCAAGAGTGTATTTAGCCAGATTAATACAAAAACAAAGTAAACAACAACATTATTGATGATTATTCCTAAAACGTGTAACAGGATCGAGTTTCACAGTGGCAGTGGTCAGTGTGTTTACTTTACGGAGTCGCTGTGTAATTCTCCAGTTATGAAGTTAAAGAGAATGACTCCAGTTGTGTGTGTGTGTGTGTGTGTGTGTGTGTGTGTGTGTGTGATATTAATAATTATAATAATAATAACGGTTTATTGAAAGTTTGCAGCCCGAAGGCTGAAAATATACATTGGACATAAATGACTTATTACATACATTGGTGGTTTAACAAAGCCTTCATTAGAGAAAGGAAGGAACATACAGAACATACAGATTAATGTTTACACACGAGATCATGAGCTGAGGTGTTGAACGCAGACACGTAGTGTAGTAACTCCCTCACAGATTGTGTTATGAGGCCTGATGATGTAGTACCTCACAGATGGTGTTACGAGGCCTGATGATGTAGTAATTCCCTCACAGATGGTGTTATGGGCCTGATGAAGTAGTAATTCCCCACAGATTGTGTTATGAGGGCCTGATGAAGTAGTAATTCCTCACAGATTGTGTTATGAGGGCCTGATGGTAGTACCTCACAGATTGTGTTATGAGGGGCCTGATGAAGTAGTAATTCCAGATTGTGTTATGAGGGGCCTGATGAAGTAGTAATTCCTCACAGATTGTGTTATGAGGGCCTGATGAATTGTAATTCTCACAGATGGTGTTATGAGGGGCCTGATGAAGTAGTAATTCCCTCACAGATTGTGTTATGAGGCCTGATGAAGTAGGAATTTCACAGATTGTGTTATGAGGGCCTGATGAAGTAGTAATTCTCACAGATTGTGTTATGAGGGGCCTGATGAATTAGTAATTCTCACAGATGGTGTTAGTGAGGGGCCTGATGAAGTAGTAATTCCTCTCAGATGGTGTTATGAGGGGCCTGATGAGGTAGTACCCCTCACAGATGGTGTTATGAGGGCCTGATGAAGTAGTAATTTCACAGATTGTGTTATGAGGGGCCTGATGAAGTAGTAATCCCTCACAGATGGTGTTATGAGGGGCCTGATAAAGTAGTAATTTCACAGATTGTGTTATGAGGGCCTGATGAATTAGTAACCCTCACAGATGGTGTTATGAGGGGCCTGATGAAGTAGTAATTTCACAGATTGTGTTATGAGGGGCTGATGAAGTAGTAATTCCTCACAGATGGTGTTATGAGGGGCCTGATGATGTAGTACCTCACAGATGGTGTTATGAGGGCCTGATGAAGTAGTAATTCCTCACAGATTGTGTTATGAGGGCCTGATGAAGTAGTAATCCCTCACAGATGGTGTTATGAGGGGCCTGATGATGTAGTAATTCCTCACAGATGGTGTTATGAGGGCCTGATGAAGTAGTAATTCCTCACAGATTGTGTGAGGGGCCTGATGAAGTAGTAATCTCACAGATGGTGTTATGAGGGGCCTGATGAAGTAGTAATTCCTCACAGATGGTGTTATGAGGGGCCTGATGAAGTAGTAACCCTCACAGATGGTGTTATGAGGGCCTGATGATGTAGTAATTTCACAGATGGTGTTATGAGGCCTGATGAAGTAGTAATTCCCCACAGATGGTGTTATGAGGCCTGATGATGTAGTAATTCCCTCACAGATGGTGTTATGAGGGGCCTGATGAAGTAGTACCCTCACAGATTGTGTTATGAGGGGCCTGATGAAGTAGTAATTCCCTCACAGATGGTGTTATGAGGGCTGATGATGTAGTAATTCCTCACAGATGGTGTTATGAGGGCCTGATGAAGTAGTAATTCCTCACAGATGGTGTTATGAGGGCCTGATGAAGTGTAATTCTCACAGATTGTGTTATGAGGGCCTGATGAAGTAGTAATTCTCACAGATGGTGTTATGAGGGGCCTGATGAAGTAGTAATTCCTCACAGATGGTGTTATGATTGATTTTGCCGCTTGCAGCGGTTACTTTATTGTGCACCCCACACTCATCCTGTGAGCGGTAGCGCAAAAGGATTACAGAGTAGGGTTACAAAGGGTCATAATAATAACCCCGTTGTCAGGATATTATGGCACTGAAAGTTACACAGTATTTCATTTACATTATTTGTTTAGTTCTATACATAAAGGGTAACTTATTCACAAATGCGTGAGAACAGGCGTGTGAGGCAGTATGTCTGGCCTCACACTTTGTTATTCACATTTACGTGGGAGGTATTCAAGCACATTGCGTATTTGGTTCTGTACATGAGAATTGATATAGTTACTAAGTGCAAAAAAGTGGATACAATCTTAATATGTCGACTATCTTGCCATTAGAGATGAAGTGTTGTGCCATTTCACACACAGTGTGCTTGGACCTGTCCCTAAAAGGTTCTATCTTCACACAGTCGAGGACGTAGTGTTCAAGTGTGTGGCCATATGTATGGCCACACACTTTACATTTAGTTTTGTTTACATCTGCTTGAGGAACATACTGCCAAAGGTACTTATATCCTAACCTTAATCTAGCGGTTACAACATCTTGTAATCTAGTGATCTTTTTACTTGCTCCATATACATGTTTCACTTGATACATCTCATCATGGTAACCTATGGATCGACTAGTGCCTGTTTGCACATGTCTACTTGCGTCAAACTCATCAATAAGTTCTCTCCTAATTACAGTTTTAAGGGTTCTTTTTGACAGACCCAAATTGTATTCAACGGTGTCTTTGTTAGACGCGAGTTTGGCGAGGGCATCAACTCTGTCATGTTTTATGAGGCCTAAGTGAGAGGGGATCCACAACAGTTTGACCCTGACACCCCGGTCAACAAGGCACGCATATTTGTGTCTGGCTTCAGAGACAAGAGCGTGACAACCTGAGTCGAGGGTACCAAGGGCAAGTAGTGAGGATAGAGAGTCAGTGATGATTATGAGGGGCCTGATGTGGTGTGTGTGTGTGTGTGTGTGTGTGTGTGTGATCAAGTTAATTAACCTGGGGTGACTAATATTCATTTCATCCAAAAATCATACCAACTAATTGTCAATATCTATCGGTGTTTATGCAAAGTAATTGTCCACAAGGAAGAGATAATTTGACAAAGAAGTTAACAATTATTATGTTTGTGTGGAGAATGGGATTTACACCTGTATATGCATATATAGTGATATATTCTGTGTTGGTATACTTCCATTTTGCTTTATATCATGAGCGGTGGTTATATCCAGCAGGAAACATAGCACCATAACCTCCCATTATTGAACATATCATGAAAACTGAATAACCGTGAGACGTCGAGGTCACCGCCCACCCCCCCTCACCCCTCACACCCCAAACACCTCCCTACACCCTACTTATACACCCTATGCCCTATTAATACTCCCTCGTGACTCCTCCTACGCCCTACTAACATAACCATACACTTTACTAACACATCCCACACCCTATTTCTACCCCCTGCTCTGTCATCCCCTCACACACACACACACACACACACCCACACACACACACACACACACACACACACACACACACACAGTGGAGTCATCATATTATCAAAGGACACAAAGTTCTCCCATACACATTACATTTCAGTCAGTTATACAGTGTGTAGTGGTGGTGTGAGGCTCAGTATAAAACAGCTTTTATGAGTCTTTGTGTGGTGTTGTGTTGGATCAACTGTGAGTCTGTTTTTTTCATGTTGTGTGATGTGGTGTGGTGTTGTGTGATGTGTGGTGTTGTGTGGTGGTGTTGTGTTGATTCAACTGTGAAGTCTGTTTTTTTAGCTATTTGTGTAGATGTGGTGTTGTGTGGTGTTTATGTTGTGTTGTGTGGTGTGGTGTTGTGTTGGATCAGCTGTGAGAGTCTGTTTTGTGTTGTTGTGGTGTGGTGTGGTGTGTGTGGTGTTGTGTTGTGTTGTGTTGTGTGGTGTGGTGTTGTGTTGGATCAGCTGTGAGAGTCTGTTTTTGTGTTGTGTTGTGTGGTGTGGTGTGGTGTGGTGTGGTGTTGTGTTGGATCAGCTGTGAGAGTTGGATCAGCTGTGAGAGTCTGTTTTTGTGTTGTGTTGTGTTGTGTGGTGTGGTGTTGTGTGGTGTGGTGTGGTGTGGTGTGGTGTGGTGTTGGATCAGCTGTGAGAGTCTGTTTTTTTGTGTTGTGTGGTGTGGTGTGGTGTGGTGTTTGTGTTGTGTTGTGTTGTGTTGGATCAGCTGTAGGAGTCGTGTGTGTTGTGTGGTGTGGTGTGGTGTGGTGTTGGATCAGCTGTGAGAGTCTGTTTTTTTGTGTTGTGTGGTGTGGTGTGGTGTGGTGTGGTGTTGTGTAGTGTTGTGTTGGATCAGCTGTAGGAGTCGTGTCGTGTTGTGTTGCGTTGCGTCGTGACAGCAGTGTATGACCAACGCTGACGAGGCTGTAGCAGACCATAAGAGAGATTAAAGGTCATAAATTAGGCTAATTTGTTCACTTATATAATAAAAAAACACAAAGTTGATCAGGATAATATTGTCAAAGCCGAGGAATTAGCAATAGCAAAAATAGTTGGTGGAATTATTCAACTGTATCTACACTCTGATTATAATTATCGTAGGAGCTCTAATATTCGTAAATAAACCATGTCATCACAGGGTTACAGTACAGGGTGAGGAAATAAAGGGACATGATCAGTGGACTGGTAAGGAAAAATAATGAGTACAGCCAGAACAAAGTCTATCCGAACACCTTCACAAGTTCAGCTCACAATGACACAGAGAGAAGAGCACTGATACATCCCTGAGACGCCTTAAAGCCCAGTTAAAGGCATCGAGTCACAACGGAGATGGAGTGTGATGGGTGACGTGTAGTGGGAGGGGGGTGAGCACCCATGGGGGAACACGAGGAATGTGCACGCGAGAACAGTGAGTCAACCAGCACCTCCCCACCGTCCTAGGCGGAGTATAAACACAGTGTACCTTAACTGACCCCGCCTCCGCCCCCGCCCTTAATGGTACAGTACAGCGGGTAGAGTAAATGAGGCACTGTGACGGGTTCAAATTCATTAATCATTTGGGAGTCTTAATAAACCTGGTAGTTAAAAATCATTCTTAATTGTGTCCCTCGGCCAAGGATACATCTGTGGTGCCAGTAGATGACCGCCCCGCTATAGGCCACAGCTGTAAGTTAAAGAAGCTGTCATTACAGAAAACTTTCAGAGTTAATTTCTGTGGGGAAAGTTAAACTCTTGAAATAACTTACAAGACAATGTTGTGACAGCACTAAGTGTCACTTCTTAAAAGTCCAGACTTGACAAACACTCACACATGTTCAGCAACACTCCCACGTCATGTTGAAGTGTACCGTCACTTGTTTCAGCTGTAGTGTTGCTGTATTTGTAGAACACTTCGCGCTCTCACTACAACTACTGTAGCTAGCTTATACGGGTATGTCTCCATACTGTCAACCACGCTACTTGCAACTGTTCAACGGAGAACCATCCCTGACCACTTACTGGAGGAGGACCATCCCTGACCACTCAGCAGAGGAGGACCATCCCTGACCACTCACTGGAGGAGGACCACCCCTGACCACTCACTAGAGGAGGACCATCCCTGACCACTCACTAGAGGAGGACCACCCCTGACCACTCAGTAGAGGAGGACCATCCCTGACCACTCACTAGAGGAGGACTTCTCATACATCCAAATCTTAATATATCTATATAAACCCTGAGAGCTAAAAATTGCTATCCGTAAATCGTCTCTGTAACATGAAATCATAATCATAAAAAAAACATAAGTGTTGTTCCATAAAGAATGTCAAGAAGCCTTAGGTTAGTGTTTTAGACAGTGTTGTTGGGAGAAACACTAAGACGGGCATCACGGGACACACATTGTTATAATTATGTGAACCTGAATAACCGGATAGCTATTCTGAATGTTATGAAACACAATCACACGCACAAAAGGAGGGGAAGTGGAGGTGTGTCACGCTGTTGATCTAATGACATCCGCCCACACAAAGACCTGCCAGTACACCCCAAAATAATGCCCTACTGCACAGTCACGCTACCATCACCCCTGCGTACACACGGGGTGGTGTAACACGTACACTGAGTGCTTGAGTACCCCCGTATATACACCGAATGCTGTAACACCTTTGTATATACTGAGTGGCGCACCATCTCTGTGTACATAGTGTGCTGTCATGTACATAAACGTGTTTTTGTCTCTGCTTAACACGACTCAAACATGGGGTTTAACTTACAGGCAGGTGGTAGAGGATGTGACCCCCCCCCCTCTCTCTCTCTCTCTCTCTCATTACATATCTCGTTTTATACTATGTTAGTGGTTTGTGTTGTTACCCAGTCCGTCACGGTGTTTGTTACCCAGTCCGTCACGGTGTTTGTGTTGTCATCGAGTCAGTTCATATATCCAGATACTGTAATGGGTAAGGACTGTGGTTGGGAAGGTGCCATCAACCGTGCTCTCTCTCTCTCTCTCTCTCTCTCTCTCTCTCTCTCTCTCTCTCTCTCTCTCTCTCTCCAACCTGACCACAACACCGCCGTACTCTGAGTGATTTCCCCCACAGTGTAGCTAGCCATTGACGAAACTCCTCTACCTACCTGGACCAATAGAGTTAACATGTGTTTTCCCGCGTCACAGTCATCAGTCTTGATTGGTTAACTCCATGACCTGCCCTGACCAATAGAGATAACACCTGTTTTCCCTCAACCATACAGAAGGAAGCTCACTCTCTGCCTGTGCCACTATCATTAATAAATCACTTAGATACTGTGATAAAATCTAACCTAATATAGTGTTATTCAGTATTCGCTTACGTAACCTTCACTTATATGGCTCTAGCCGAACACCGTATGTCAACAGTAACGCAGATTTAGGATTGCAGTACAGATTTCCAGATCAAAATCGTCCCGACCCGACCCGACCCAACCCAACCCAACCCAACCAACTCAACCCAACCTAACCCAACCCAACCCAACCCACACATGACTAGCACCCATTATAACTGACCCCAGGAAGGGTCATGGAATAGTGACCGAAACCCGAATCCTGTCCTGGTTCCATCTGATGACCCCACGTTTGTTATTTAGCATGTGATTGTTCTACTAGTGTCTATGTTAACTCCAGGTTGTAATGTCTATTGGCTTTGTGGCTTTGTAAGATTCCCTTTCTATTATTCAGTAAATGTGTTATTAATACATTATTGCAATAGATCCCACTGAACCAGGGACTCGGGTATACATGTAAGTTGGTACCTGTCTTAATAGGTAACACGATTTGTATTACAGGTAACATTATGGTGAGAGGCGTGGCGCGTTGCTGGCTGTGTGTGGGCGTGTTGGTGCTGATGACGGTTGCGGTCAGCCAGGCAGAGACGAAGCAGAAGGCCACCAACCCCTGCAAGTACACCAAACATCTCCCCACCAAGAAGAGGAAACTATGTCATGGTGAGTACCGTGGACCCCCCTTCAAATACAGGTGTGTGCCCCTCAAATACTGGTGTGTGCCCCTCAAATACTGGTGTGTGCCCCTCAAATACTGGTGTGTGCCCCTCAAATACAGGTGTGTGCCCTTCAAATACTGGTGTGCCCCTCAAATACTGGTGTGTGCCCCTCAAATACTGGTGTGTGCCCCTCAAATACTGGTGTGTGCCCCTCAAATACTGGTGTGTGCCCCTCAAATACAGGTGTGCCCCTCAAATACAGGTGTGCGCCCCTCATACAGGTGTACTCCAAAGGACACTTATCAATTAACGTGTTTATGCCTCACAGGGTTGGAGATGCTGAGAGCGGCGTCGACCGGGGAGAAGAAAATAGTGCAGGAGCTGTTGAATCAGACTGAAACAACGTACCTGCTAGCCTACACGGAGAGGGAAGGTACTGTGGTGTGGTCTCTCTCTCTCTCTCTCTCTCTCTCTCTCTCTCTCTCTCTCTCTCTCTCTCTCTCTCTCTCTCTCTCTCAGCCTCTCTCTCTCTCTCTCTCTCTCTCTCTCTCTCTCTCACGTACAGTAATACAGCCTCTCTCTCTCTCTCTCTCTCTCTCTCTCACGTACAGCAATACAGCCTCTCTCTCTCTCTCTCCACGTACAGTAATACAGCCTCTCTCTCTCTCTCTCTACATACAGGGTGGCGCAGGGGATTCACGGCGCTGTTGTTGGCCGCAGAGAACAACCATACTGAGGTGGCCAAACTGCTGGTAGATTATGGCTCCGACGTCAACCACACCAGCAGCGCCAGTACGTGCTGCCTCATCTAGTTCACCTACCTCACCTAGTTCACCTACCTCACCTAGTTCACCTACCTCATCTAGTTCACCTACCTCATCTAGTTCACCTATCTCACCTAGTTCACCTACCTCATCTAGCTCACCTACCTGTAGTTATTTCACTTCACCTAGCGCAGGACTCACCTAGACCTCTCTTAGGTGTCGCTCAGGCTACCTACAGTAGTTCGTGTTGAAAATCTCAGAACAGGTTTTATTGTTTCATGTTAACGTTTATATAATGGTTAGGTTGTATCACATGAAGATTAGTCTCCCCACCCACTTTATATCACTTTAAGATCAACAACCTAACCTAACCTAACCTAACCTATCCTAGTTTAACCTAACCTAAGCGTTGGGGGAGTTTAATCATCAGGTAAACTAAAGCTGGGGTGGCTAATCTTTAGGTAACTAGAGGTGATATTTTTTTAAACGAATTTGATGTGTGTGTTTGTTTGTGGGTTGACAGAGTTCACAGTTGTCTACCTGATGGCGGAGAACGGCGCCCTGGACACACTCAAGCTCGTCCTTAACCTTTCTGCCGTAGCTGACGTCAAAACCAGCTTCGGTAAGTATCAGGGAGAGAGAGGGGCTGAGATTTTTGTGCCAGTATTGTAGTAGTTCAGTTGATGCTAAGTGTGTGTGTGTGTGTGTGTGTGTTGCGGTATAGGTAGTGTACGGTAATGTGTGCCTGGGTATCACAGTGTCTTCCTCATGGCAGGGCTGTCGCCTCTGCTGATTGGCGCGTGGAATGGGTACTCGGGCGTGGTGAAAGCGTTGTTGGGGGTCGGCGCTAACCCTGATGTGAAAACTCCATTGACACGTAAGTAAGAGAGACAGAGAGAGACGGGGGGGGGGGGTTAGGCAGAGCTAGCTGGCCCAAGTGTAAATAATTACGACTATTACTCATATGTAAGGTGTTAGGAATCCGCTGTTATTTACTACACTATGGTAATGTTGGTGTGCTACAGGGTGAGTTACTAGTCCATGGTTCATTGAAAATCAGACAGACCTGGATTACATTTTCACTATGGTCACCATTGTGTGTTTTCACCGCCTCCAATCGTAGGTGTGCACAGTTACGCGGTTTTTTCCTTGAATTTGTAGCTTTTTGTGGCTGGTGTGCAAAACCTTCATGTTTGTAAAGCCCCCCAAATGAAAGTAATCGTGAGGGTTATTTGTGCTGCCAGGCTGCCACTCACACACATTACACTGACACCGAATTACTCACCTGTTGGTTGGACAGCCTGGTACTGTTAACACGTGTACCTCTGCCAGCACTGAGCTAAAGGACCTGATACCTTTAACTTTTATCATCTTCACCAAAAGCTCGGCTCGTTAGCCGCTTGGGCGATCGGTCACGTCTCTGTTATGCACTGTTGGCAAGTACTGGGCATGCACCGGCTCCTGAATGTACCTGAACCTGCTCGTGTTGGTCAAGTCTTGTCTTGAAAGAGCTCACACTCGATGCCGTCACAACACTTTCTGGTGGAGTCTTCCAAGAGCTCACAACTCTTACTCCGAAAAAGTTTGCCCTCACAGTTTTCCGGACTTGCGGCTTCTTCAATCTTGAGCTGTGACCCCTTGTGGGGCGAGCGTCTGCCAGCTCCAAGTAAGGACACTCGACTGAGTAGTGCCCCTTGAGATGCTTATACACCTCAATTAGGTCGCCCCTTGCCCGTCTGTAGAATAAGCTAGGCAAGTTCAGGCGCTCCAATCTCTCAGGGTAGTTGAGGTGCCGAAGTGCAGGCATCAGTCTGGTGGCCCTCCTTTGAACATTTTCAACCAACTGACAGTCCCTAGCATATCTCGGGAACCAGACGGGGTGACAGTACTCCAGGGGGGGAAGCACTTCACTCTTGAAGATCGTTACGAGGGACGGACCGTCTAGATATCTGAACGACCTTCATATTAGACCCAATAATTTATTTGCCTGATTTACCTTCTTCTCACAATGGAACTGTACTGTTTATTAGAGAACTGGACAAAAGACTGGTAGCAGCGGGTGAGTGAGGAGATAAAGTAGAGTGGAATATTAAACAAGGGAAGAATATTAGTGGTGGTATAACACTATAAATTATACCCAAGTAAACTGTCATACATTTTACATAGTACAGTACTAATAATTATAGTGATTTGGATAACGTACGAGTAATGAACATTCTATTTATAGTACCTGTGTTGTATTGTGCTCTGCTGTGCTGTGTACCACGATACTGTATATGTTTTTGTTTATATTTCTAAGGAAAGTGTCTTCATTTATTCCAATAACCTCTTTGTTGCTTCTGCTGCTGCTGTGGGTGACGGCAGTGTACTCGCCGCTGTACATGGCGGCCAAGGCTGGTGACAAGACTATGGCGAACTATCTCCTGTCTGCCAGAGCTGACATCAACGTCGTCACCTCCTGGGGTAGGTTCTTGTGGTATAGAGAACTGAATTTATGGGACAAGGGATGTCTCATGTGTGAGGATCTTTACACACCCATTTAATATATTCTAACTAGAACTTCACAACACCACTAATACCACTACCACCACCAGTGTTACTAACGCTATCTTGGTTGGTCAGGGGTGACAGCACTGATGACGGCGATCGTGTGGGGTCATGAGGAGGTGGCGAAGCTGCTGTTGGACAAGGGTGCTGACCCGAACCTTGCAGAGAAGGACGGTGAGTGTATAGCCGCTTATGTAGAGTAGTAGATATATAGCTCCTGATGTAGAGCAGTAGATGTATAGCCCCTGATGTAGAGCAGTAGATGTATAGCTCCTGATGTAGAGCAGTAGATGTATAGCTCCTGATGTAGAGCAGTAGATGTATAGCTCCTGATGTAGAGTAGTAGATGTATAGCTCCTGATGTAGAGCAGTAGATGTATAGCTCCTGATGTAGAGTAGTAGATGTATAGCTCCTGATGTAGAGTAGTAGATGTATAGCTCCTGATGTAGAGCAGTAGATGTATAGCCCCTGATGTAAAGTAGTAGATGTATAGCTCCTGATGTAGAGCAGTAGATGTATAGCTCCTGATGTAGAGCAGTAGATGTATAGCCCCTGATGTAGAGTAGTAGATGTATAGCTCCTGATGTAGAGTAGTAGATGTATAGCTCCTGATGTAGAGTAGTAGATGTATAGCTCCTGATGTAGAGCAGTAGATGTATAGCCCTGATGCGTAGATGTATAGCTCCTGATGTAGAGTAGTAAATGTATAGCTCCTGATGTAGAGCAGTAGATGTATAGCCCCTGATGTAAAGTAGTAGATGTATAGCTCCTGATGTAGAGTAGTAGATGTATAGCTCCTGATGTAGAGCAGTAGATGTATAGCCCCTGATGTAAAGTAGTAGATGTATAGCTCCTGATGTAGAGCAGTAGATGTATAGCTCCTGATGTAGAGCAGTAGATGTATAGCCCCTGATGTAAAGTAGTAGATGTATAGCTCCTGATGTAGAGTAGTAGATGTATAGCTCCTGATGTAGAGTAGTAGATGTATAGCTCCTGATGTAGAGCAGTAGATGTATAGCTCCTGATGTAGAGCAGTAGATGTATAGCTCCTGATGTAGAGTAGTAGATGTATAGCTCCTGATGTAGAGTAGTAGATGTATAGCTCCTGATGTAGAGCAGTAGATGTATAGCTCCTGATGTAGAGTAGTAGATGGTGAATGATTGATAAAAATATAAGTAGATTAAAAGTATGATAAGTAGTAGACAAAGTTTGAATGGACGAAGGAAAATATAAATACAGTATTAAGTATAATATTACCTGGGTTATGTTAGGTTAGGTTAGGTTTTGGAGGTGAGGTGACCCCTGTTAGTTAATCTTCCTGTATCTCTCATTAAGTAAAATAAACAACGTACGGTAAGCCTCTGAAAATATTAGCAGCCTAAGTGGCAATAGGTTTTGTGTAGGCACTGTTCCTAATCGAAGTTAACCTAAGCTATGTTAACTTAAGCCAGTGTAACCTAACCTAACCTATGTATAGTCAGTGTAATGTAACCTAAGCTAAGCTATGTTAACGTAAGTCAATTTAACGTAACCTACCTTATATTAATGTTCTTTATGTGATTGCGTCTCTCCGGCAGGGTTTACCGCGCTGCACAAAGCCGCCTACTACCGCCACCCCAACATCGTCACCTTCCTGCTAGCCAAAAACGCTCGCCTCGACGCCACTGACAATCTGGGTGAATGTCCAGCTCTTACTAGTGTATTGTTTGTTGTGTCTTGGGCAAACCTTACACCATCTTTTGTTGTTAGTGTTGTGGGGGGGGGGGGGCAGCGTTGATATTTTGTGCTCTCTGGATACTTATTAAATTCCATGTACATTATTTAGTTTGTGTTCTTTTTTGGTAGCCTATGTATTTTTTATTTGCTTTCTCCGTCAAACAGCTTAGCTACTGTACTTTCTTTTATGTGGTTTGAAATATATTCTTCAAACACAGACCAGAGGTGAGGAGAAAGGAAAAATATGAAAATGTGGAGAGAAAGGGGGCAAAATGACGGAACAAAATGTTGAAAAAGAGAATTGATTATACAGCAGTTGAATTTGTTTCTGAGAGACATGACCAAAAAAGGTGTTATGTGATAGGTTAGCCGACGAAGGGTTGATCTTACAACCAGAAGGAGAAAGCGAGCTAATATAAACTGTGGTTAATAATTATCTTCGTCACTAAGCACTAGAAGAGGCGCCGATACAGCCATCACAGGGGAATAATGTTACTTGTTCTTTAATACTCTAATCTATACGTCACTCATATTTATGTTCAAATTATAATGATTGTACTTGTGGTGGTGTTCAGGCATGACGCCCCTCCACTACTGCATGGTACCGAGGGAAGATGAGGTGGAGGCAGGACAGAAGGCGATCATCAAGAAGAAGGCGGAACTCATTCGTCTGCTGCTGGAGAAGTGTCCCGACCCGACCATAACCGATGTCACAGGTACTGTTCCTGTTAGTACAGTGCAGTACAGAACACCCAGATGGTGCGCCTTAGTTGTACAGTACAGTATTTATCAAGCAGTATAGTATCTGCTTTATTTAGGCAGGTTTATCCTTTAGATAAATTAATCTTTCCATTTTTTTTCCTGTTGACACTAAGCATTGATGTGTAATTCAGTTTTAGCTTAATAGGCTGTTAATTTAGTCACCTTCAGTCCTGTGTTGCTTCAGAATAAGCAAGGTGCACTTACACTTAAAGATGATAGATTTAGTTTTACCTGCATTTAGTTCAATATATTTAATTACATTGATTTATTCCAATAGCAACAGTGACACTATCCCACCTTTAACATTAGACTGACATACTTTGTGTTCTCCGGCAGGCAAAACAGCGCTGGACCTGGCTAAGATGAGCAACTCAACCGAGCTCCAAACTCTCCTGGAAGGTACGTCATCATCATCATCATCATCATCATCATCATCATCATCATCATCATCATTACTCGATGAAGGCCATCACAGTGTGTCATAATCTTCACCAGTGTCATCATTAGCTCCTTTAAACCTTCTCTATCCATTTTGTGCTGTAGAATTTCCTGAGTTTATCAATACTTTTTCTGGATTTTTCCCGTCTCTTGGTATCCAGTTAAAATTTTTCATAAAAGTCACTCGGCAATTGCAAGTTTTCACGATCATTAAGTTGAGTTTATGAAATTTTCACACATGTAACTACTGTACTGTCTGAATCTGTCAGTGTTCGCTGAAAATTATTATTAGTTTTTCATTATTCAAGTATGTACAATTTTAATCCAGCCTAAAAAAAATGGGTCAATCACAACACGTCATACAGATGTCATAGATGGAGGTTGTCCCATTCTCTTAAGTCTCCATAATAATAATCAGATAGCAGTGTAACTATCTGATAAATTTGCTTGCCACCGCCTTTTTCCACCGACCACTGACAGACAACCTTACACTGTGCTCAAAGTATTCATGTGGGAGTTCCTTTGGTCTTAGCAATGTCTTTATTTGTATTTCTTCTTTTTCTTATTATTTTTATTATTATTTTCGTATTACTATTTTCGTGAGTGTTATACTGTACGTGATCTTGCAGGTTATAACCGCAGCAACTGTAACTAGTTTACGTCCACACTGCAGACCAGAAGGTATGTGTCCCGTCAACATCTACACATACTATTATTATTATTATTATTATTATTATTATTATTATTATTATTATTATTATTATTGTTGTTGTTTTTGTTATTATTAGTGTGTGTGTGTGTGTGTGTGTGTGATACAATCTTACCAATAGTTTACAGCTGGTCGGCTCCTACAATAGCTCAGCCCTACACAGTTTGGGTCACCATTAGTCAGTCTAGGATCATCCATAATTATTAACTGATAACTCAAACATTTTTCAGAGGTGAGAGAGCTGACTGTGTCGACCATACTGAGATTTCACCAGGAATCTCTGAGCGACGCTTCATTTCTTTACATCAACTCTCACTGGGCCACATGTTTGAATTTTTTTTTGGGGGGGTGGGGTGGGGAGGGGTGATAAGATAGGGGGGGGCACAGACCAGGAGGCGTGTGTCCCACTGAAAGCTAAATTTCATCAAACATTACGTAAGAACATAAGATAAATGGAATTGGCCCCTATAAGGCAACTCCTGTTCACACCCAACCATTATCATTCACATATTTGTCTAACTTACATTTTGAATTTGTTATTTCTGAACAAATAACTGTTGAAAGTGTTCACCTTGAAATAGCCCAAATTAGTTCACTCTGTGGTTCCTGTGTTAAAGAGGTTTACAAGGTTGCATCTAAGTGGTGGTATATTGCCTTTTAATACTACAAAGTGCCTCTTGACTGTGTCCCCCACCTGTCTCGCTCACCTTGTAATGGCTCACTGTCAAGCTGTAGATCCACCAGTGTGTATAAATGTGTATACGTACCTGTTTATATACAAGCTGTATTATGTAAAAAGCTAATGTTAATGATACCACTCCACAGATGTTCCTCAAAATATTGGAAGGAAAAATGACTTCAGAATTACACAATGACTCTATTTACGGATTCTGAAATATTTGTGCCTCAACTTTATTACCCAGAATTACGAAGACAAGATGAAGGTTGTTTTTGTAGAATATCTGTGTAATCTTGACGTCATTTTTGATGTCTTGTTCATGTCTTAATTAAATGAGGCACTTATGAGGGAAATTCTGCAGAGGTTCAAAGACTGGAGATGTGAAGGACGCGTCTCACTAGATCACATAACCTATACAGTGCTCGTAAAGTGGTGGGTAAAAATGGGTATGAGTAATGCGCTGAGACTACCGTAACGAATTAAGAGGAAACACAGGTGGATAAGGTTGACTCTCATCGACATGTTTAGTTTGTTGTCACATCTCCAGCTGGGGGGAATACTCTGTGTTCACACCTCTCAGTCTCTGGGAATAATATAATAAGGTATTTTCTCTGCAACAGTTTAACTTGTATGTTGTTAATTGAAATAATGTAGGTTAAGGTCTCTTGTATATTGTGGTTTCTGTGTTATTATCGTAGAGCTGAATTAAAATAATTAAAGTATCTACTTAAATAGCAGAGAAAGCATTTAAGTATTAAAGTAACCATTTCAGTGTGTGATAAAGTAGATATTTCAGGTAAAAAAAAAGCATACATTTAAATGTATAAAAGTAGGTATTTTAAGGAGGGAATAAAGTGTGTACAGTACTTTTAAGTAATAAAGTTGCTACAGTACTTTTAAGTAATAATACAACCATTTAATTGATAAAGAATGCATTCATTTAATTACAGTAATAAGTTGGAAATTTAAGTCACCAACAGTATATACGACCAGTAACTACCACCTGACGTTCGGTCCAAATTCTTCTGATATTCGTAAGTTAAATCCCTTCCCCTTCCCACCCCACCCCTCCCCTCCCGCGATATAAAGAGCCCATCTTACACCAAGCCCCGACACTGAGAAAATGTTCTGTATCAAAATTGCACTGTGATACATAAGCGTATCTACTGTACATGCTGTCTCTTTATCCCCATTGACAATTACCACACAGAAGATTCCCCCAGTTAGTTTAACAAGTTATGGATGCAACGTTTTATTCAGTATTATTTCAATTAGAATACAAACTAGAAATGACAGTAAGTTATCAGGTTTTAGACTGAGAAGAAAAACTAGGGAAGGTGTCTCTGGTCTGACAGCTTAAGTGAAGAGGTTTATATGTTCAAAGAAATTCGGATCTCGTGAAGATTAGAAACCCAGCTTATTTCACCTCATGATTAAACACCCTAATGGTAATGAAATAAGCAGAGGTTTCTTATTTACCTAATGGCCACCCACTAGAGTTGACCATACCACAGAAAAAAGGCCCAGCCAGTGGCCTGTGTTCTTGAAAATTATACAAGGGCTATTTTGAAGACCGGTACTGTACTGTTCGTGTTCACAGCTGGGCTGGGAGACCGTTCCACACGTCTCCCACCTTCAGGAGATCCCAAATTTGTATATCATGTGTGCATTAGGAAAATCAACTTGTATCTATTAGTAAGAACAATGTATCTCTTGATAAGAATTCTATATCTGTCAACAAGAAATGTTTTTTATTAATAAGTACCAAGTATTTCTCTGATATAAACCATGTATATATTAATAAGAACTTTGTAATGTATTAATACGAAAAGTATATCACTTATTAAGAACAATGTATCTATAAATATATATATATATATATATATATATATATATATATATATATATATATATATATATATATATATATATATATATATATATATATATATATATATATATATATATATATATATATATGCTGTATATAGGAACCATATATCCGTCAGTAAGAACCATATATTGTAATATGAACCACATTGTGCCCATTAATAAAAATCATTCAATGTATCTCTCAATAGGGATGCTGTGGCTGAGTGCCTTCTATCATTCAGGCCTCTTTTGCACACCCAGGGCGCACATCCCAGTCCACCCAACTGTGATTGAGTGCCTAACTTCACATTTGTGAAAGTGAATGTCGAATGCAATGCCAGTCACACTGTCTCCTTGTATATTGAAAGCTCAAGAATTCAGTAGACCTCAACCTTAAAGGTATGATCAATAAATTTGAGGTTAGTTAGACCGATCTTATTACTTCTCCCGGAAAACTGATCACACTTAACGTGAGATACATACATGCAGGCAGACAGTAAATGCCGACACATTCTTATGTACTTAGGATTTAGAAAGTTATCAACAATACACTGGACATTGAAGGTCATAACAAAGTAATAAAAGAATGGTTGACTGCCCGAACAGCCAGCAAGCTGTGATACATAAAAATCACTGTTCACATCCCCAAACAGAATTAAGTGATTATCTGCAGAAACATTCAAGATCACAAAATCATCTGAGAGTTTGCTAAATTTCCTCCAACAGTGAAGAATATGGCTGGATTATTGAAATGAATCACTCTTACTTCTTAGCAGTTTCACACTAGCCATGATGTTCAGTGATCTACTTCAAGCAAACCCCAGCAACTTATAACAATATTATTGGGAGTTAGATCCCTGACAGTGGATGACACACCTAGCAAGACTCGTGAGACTCTTATCAGAGATATATATTCAACTTTTATCTTTACATCATGAAGCCATCCCTTACACCTGGAGGTTGATAACATTTGTCTTATAGAGCCGGAATAAGGTACAGCTATGGTAATTGCATGGTGCTGCTAAAGCGGTGATGCCTTGCTGTACGTACTTATTATATGATCTCCCGAGTCTTACTCAGTACTTGTTAATGGACTCTGCTTAGAAATCTCAAGGGCAACAAGTCATTTCTAACCACACCCTGCAAAATACAATGTACTTAGCAAATGCTGCAGCTTCTGAGAATGGAGGGGGGCCGAAGTTACTACTAAGAGCAGAGACGTTACCGAGAACAAATTCTGGCTTGAATGTTATGTACACTAATACTGACACGTTCCTTGATAAGAGAGAGGAGTTTGAAACACACTGAAGGTGCACCAACCCGATATTGTAGGAGTTGTAGAACTGTTGTACAAGAACAGGAGAATCGACCCAGAGGAATATGAGTTCAGTATTGCTGGATATGACTCATTTACGAACCTTTCTCAAGAAACTTGCAAGAGAGGTGTGGTTATCTATGCTAGGCAAGACCTTAGAGCCAGCCAGGTGAGGGTACAGGGAGAGGGTGTTTTTGAAGAGACCAAGTGGTGTAAAATTAAATTAAAGGGAAGGGACTTATTGTCTGGTGTATCTACAGATCCCCAAACTGTGGCCCACTAAATCAAAGGAACTTAAGAACCTTAATAGGCAACGCAGCGATGCTCAATCCTAACCACCTCCTTATCATGGGAGACTTTAACTATGGCGACATCGACTGGAGAAACGAGTCCACCCCAAATGACTTGAATAACACTGCTACTCTTTTTGTAGAAACTCTGAGAGATAATTTTCTGTTCCAACATGTTAGAGACCCGACACATTACAGAGGGGAGCAAACACCCAAGCCACTTGACCTCATCATATCAAACGAGGAGGGTATGGTGGCCAAACTGGAACACCTTACCCCAGATGGCACCAATCACCATATAGTGTTATCATTCCGATTTAACCGTTACCTAGTTCAAGATAAGGCCAGGCCAAGGTGCAAAATTGTTGAGATTCAATGTCACGAAGTGTAAGAGGATGCACCTGGGGCGTACCAACGGTAAGGAGGCGTATCATATGTCCCAACGGGATGAAGAAACTGCACTGTTTGAGACTGAATGTGAGAAGGACCTAGGTGTGTATGTTGACAATGAGCTGAAGTTCTCGGGCCATTGCGAGAAGAAGGTAAATCGGGCAAATAAATTATTGGGTCTTATAAGAAGGTCGTTCAGATATCTAGACGGCCGTCCCTCGTAACGATCTTCAAGAGTGAAGTACTTCCCCTGGAGTACTGTCACCCCTTCTGGTCCCCGAGATATGCTAGGGACTGTCAGTTGGTTGAAAATGTTCAAAGGAGGGCCACCAGACTGGTGCCTGCACTTCGGCACCTCAACTACCCTGAGAGATTGGAGCGCCTGAACTTGCCTAGCTTATTCTACAGACGGGCAAGGGGCGACCTAATTGAGGTGTATAAGCATCTCAAGGGGCACTACTCAGTCGAGTGTCCTTACTTGGAGCTGGCAGACGCTCGCCCCACAAGGGGTCACAGCTCAAGATTGAAGAAGCCACAGGTCCAGAAAACTGTGAGGGCAAACTTTTTCGGAGTGAGAGTTATGAACTCTTGGAAGACTCCACCAGAAAGTGCTGTGACGGCACCGAGTGTGAGCTCTTTCAAGACAAGACTTGACCAACACGAGCAGGTTCAGGTACCGGTGCATGCCCAGTACCTGCCAACAGTGCGTAACAGAGTCAGAGAGCCAGTACATGACTAGTACTTGCCAACAGTGCGTGGCAGAGACTTGACTGATCGCCCAAGCGGCTAACGAGCTGATCAGTGGTGAAGAGGATAAAAGTAAAAGTTGTGTGTGTAAAACACACACACACGCACAAGTCGATTTAACTAAGAATAACCCCAAAACGCTGAACAATAATTTTATTGGGTCTTTAATACAAGTACAAGTTTTAATTCAATATTTTTAGAAAAGATTTTCTTCAAAAATGTATTTTCATTTTAATATTCTCTTTATATACATAACCCCATAGTTTTAGTCAGCTGTTTGAGTTGGTGTTTGTTTACAGCTCCGGGACCGAGGGTCACACTGCACTGCACACACTTCGCTTTTGTGTATACTACCTCGTTTGGATGCCTTGTTACTTTAACTACATATACTTTTACTGCTCAGTTTTCCCTGTCCCTCATTTAAGTTAAATTAAACTGTTAATTGGGTGGTGAGTATTTAGTCGTTGCCAACACCAACTTATGTATAGAGTCTTATATAGGGAGAATGAGAAGAAAAAACTACAAATTAAGTCAAATAAATGTTGAAATGATTATTAATTTCGTGTGGCTTTGCTTAAGAAATGTCATTAAATTGGACATCTTCTTGGTTGACAGATTACCTCTATAGTGTACAAGGAAGAAGATGGTGTTGCTACTCTTACGATCACCCATTGTAAAACATCTACACACCTCATGGCTGCCCTGTGTATCCAGAAATTATTCAACCAAAACAACTTTCAAACAAGGAGAACAGGTAACTTTTGATTCATATGCATTGTTGAAGAATTTTGTTCTTATAGATCAGATAACAAGTACACTAAGGTTCAACATACCTTGTGCTTGAGGTTATAGAAAAGAACTGTTGCGGGGCTCGGTGTATGGTATGTACTGTACAGTAATATCACCATTCGCTGAGATAATTGGTCCCGAGCTTTTCTAGGTTTGAGATATTTCCGGGTATTGAGATGAGATTTCTAAACTCGGAAAAAATCGCATATCTACAGTAGTACAGGTATTTTTCCGGGCATTGGTGAATGTCTCCATGTCTAAACTATGCATCTGGCATGGAGCACCGTTAGTACAGAGGTTTAACTACAGCCAAACAAACACAGAGCTGTATTTATTTATGAAAACACTACTGTATTGTAAATAAACTTGGTGCCACTATAGCGTGTGGTCTACCGGGACATTTACACTATAGCGTGCGGTCTACCGGGACATTTACACTATAGCGTGCGGTCTACCTGGGATATCTACACTGCAGGCTGCAATTAAGTATCGTTATGTAGTATTATTTATTATATAGTAAAGATTTATTATAAAAAAACAAAATACCTGTCGTGATAAAAAATTTTTTATTGATCATCATATAAACAAAACATGTGAAGATGTTGAATAATAGCATAATATTAATGACATAAACTTCGTATCATATTCTTTGTAAATTATAAACCCAACCTAACCCCCTTTTATAAGGCTGGTTAGGATCCTGGTGTTCAGGTAGTCAGGTCAGGTCCGTAGACTATGGATATTGCAGTAGACAGATGCTATAGTAGTGTAGTAACCCTACAGTAGCACCATAAACTTAATGGACATTATTATTATCACTTAGGTCATCCAGCGAATTTTAGGTTAGGTTGAAATTATGTTTTCTGATGGTTTATTTCAACTTCCAAAAATGTGTATTATCGAAACGATAATTTTACCATATAATATTGTACTATATACACTACAGAATACTGTACTTACCAGCATATGCTGTCATCTTGAGCTTGTGATGCAGGCAAGCCAAATGGTGATATGATGATACAGGATGGCCTGCTCTGTCCTGTACCATATACTGTACTGTGGCAGCTGGTGCTAACAGTCACTCTCCTCTTCCTCCATGAAGAAGGGATTGTACAGCATTGTCTACTGTTCATACACCCTCTACACACTAGCCTACATGAAGCATACACTGCACACTTTGCTGTGCTCAGTATTATATGTACGGTACTTTCACACTTACTGAATGTACAGTACCGAATATGTAACTGTAATCACTTTTTATGTTTTATCACTGCTCTAATAATATTCTTGGCTGGTTGTAGCATGGTACAGTAATGTACAGTACTGCACAATACAGGTCATCTGCAAAAACAGCAGTGCGTGAGTGAACAAGCTTGTATAATGGCAGCAGACATTGAACTAAGAGTGTTATGATGCTAGAGTTTGAGGAGACAGGTTGCAATATACATTAGGCAATCATAGGCATCCCATGCAGTTAAATGATGGTAGTAGCCTAGAATCGGTCATGAGCAATCTGTGCCTATGGACCTACGCACTGGGCACGTGTCGGTGCATGATGCACTCTCTCTGAAATTGTTTGAATGCTCGGAACGAAGATATTTTTCTCAGAATTTCTCGGAATGCTCTGTTTTTGGGAGGATTGAAGATTCCAGCTAATGGGGAGATTACTGTACAGTAATGGTGTCTTCATTGTGTTAATACGGAACAAATACTAGGACCATATTCTGGTATATAGCAAGAAAATTTTTTGGAGGTTTCATTTCCCAACACTTCAGATGTTTTGTGTACTGTGTTACGATAAAGGTTAAGATAGGTTGGGGATGGGGACAGTGATAGCTCCAAGTTGAAAACACTTACAGTATGACCACTGAGTGTAGTTTTCATTTTGATGAAGCCAGTTTTCATGTTTCATGCCTTGTAAAGGGGTGTACTGTACTGTTATTATCATCATCATCAACATCAACATCAACATTTTGTGGCCATTTTCCATGCTTGGGTGGATCAGCTATTATTACCTGAAGTCAGCTGTTGGGTAAAACCAGAATGGGAATTAAGTCCTCTGCTCACCACCACAAACTCAAGGTGCCAGCAGAGATAAGGGGATGGGCACAGCTCTGGTTACCAAGTTGCCGTCAAGCATGTTGAAGCAAAGGTAATTAAAATCTCTCTGCCTACCTCAAAATCTCAAAGTGGTAAAAAATATTAGCAGAAAAAGGATTTTCTTTTTTGAATGGCTCTTGGTAGATTGTACAGGTACTCTCCTTTCTCCAAAAAAATTATGTCAGCATCAGTCATGAATAATTAAACCTCATAACTTTAATAAAATTTTGTGTCTGTGAGTGAGCTTAAGTAGTTCTTATTTGAAGAGTCAGGTGGATATTGTGGCTTTCTCATGTCATGGTTACATAGTTGTCATTACGCATACATTAGTGACACATTCCCTGCAATTCAAACAACATGTTGAAACTTACCCTTTTATTTTAAATTTGAAGGGAAGCTAAATCTGGTAAAAACCCTTAGTGTCCATTATGTCAGTGGAAATTAGGTGCAGCTCATATAAAAGAACCACATTGTTTGACTTAAAATGTTAATTTATTAACCAGTTGTAAATGCATTGGATATACTGTAATACTTGTAGATTAATTGGGTGTATAACATGTTTCTGAAGTTTGGAGAATTGTTTCATACCTCATTATTGTATTGTCAGTCTTAACAGCTCTCTCCTCTTACCTCTATGCAGGTGACAGTTGCAGGAAAAGCATATCAGGCAGACCACATGACAAATGTGACCCCTCATCTACTCTCACATGTTGGAAAAGACCTCCACTTACAAAAATATCATCCACTAAATCATACTTGCCAAAGGATAGTCCAATACATGTACAAGAGATATGTTTCACTTCGAGGCAATCCTCTTTTTTCTGTCCACAACCAAATACACCCGGTTGTAACAACCCACCAAAACTTTGACTCTTTGCTGATCCCCAAAGATCACGTCAGTAGAAAAAAATCGGACAACTATTACGTCAATGAGAGACACCTCTTGCGGGCACATACAAGTGCTCATCAAGTAAGTTTTTATACTGCAGAAGAATTTATGGTAATTTTAGGCTTAAGAGGTTTGTTTATGTGAGTTCATCATGCTTAATAGGGATAATACAATTGATTGTATCTCAAACTACAACTAATGATAACTTTTTGTTTTTATTTCTTAAACAAAATGGAAATTAGTTCTCATATGGTAAAATTTGCTCTGCATCATTTACTATCACAGTGCAGTATATGCAAACTACGTATACCTAAATTAGGTTAGATTTGGTATGGTTAGGATAATTAGCTAGTTTGGTGCTATTGATTTATAATTTTTATTACGACTATATCATTGTTTCTGTACAGTATACAGGCTAGTTTTAAGTTTTGAAAATATACAGTACAATGTAAAGAAATTATTGTTACTTTGCAATAATCTGTATGTATCATGGTTATATATATAGTACTGTACAAGTATATATACAGTATAAACTAATAACTTCTCTAATATTGATAATTTTAGAGTGAATTGATAGGAATGGGATTCGATAACTTCTTAGTCATTGGAGACGTTTACAGACGGGATGAAATTGATGCCTCTCACTATCCTGTTTTCCATCAAGTAGAGGGGGTCAGACTGTGCACTGCATCACAGGTAAGTTGTGAACCATCTGTTATTCTGTTGTAATATTATGTTTTATGAGTTTCCTTGAGACATGTAAATTGTAGATGAGTCTTATACAGATGCTCTGATAGGCATCAGTATACAGTATATTATTTGGATTCAAATGACACAGCCCTGAGGGAGTATTGGTGACTTCAGTCCTGATTAGGGTAATGTAAGAGATAAACAAAGGATCTCAATGTTACTTTGTTACCCCCAAGAGATTATTTACAATCAACTCCAATGGAAAAAAAAAAGATTAGGACCATTTTTTTCAATATCCACTGATATTTCTAATACTGTACTGTAATATTACATTTCATCAAACATTTACTATAAGTTTGCAGAAAAACTAAGGACCACAAAGCAAGGAGAATCAAACAACTAAGAAGCTAATTGGTCTTATAAGAAAGGTGTTCAGATATCTAGATGGTCTGTCCCTTGTAACACTCTTTAAAAGTGAGAGGTTTCACAGTTTGGAGTACTGTCACCCCGTCTGGTTCCTGAGAGTCTATGGGACTATGGCACCTCAGGTACTCAGAGAGATTAGAATGCCTGCGGTTTGCCTCGCTTATATTATTATAGGCAGGCAATGGATGACTTAATAGAAATTTATAAACACTTCATGGGACATAAATGGAGCTGGCATATGCCTGCCCTACTAGTGGTTACAGCCTAAGGTTGAAGAAGCCATAAGTTCAGAAAACTCAGGACAAACTTTTTTGGAGTGTGGCTTGTGAACTCTTGGAATAATCTGCCGGAGACTGTTGTGACGGCACTGAGTGTGAGCTCCTTCAAAACCAGACTTGACCATTGTTGGTGCAGGTACATATACATTCTGGAACTGGTACATGCCCAGTGCTTGCCAAGAGCACATAACAGAGACATGACCAACCACCCGAGCAGCTAATGAGCCGATCATTGGGGAAGAGGATAAAGTATGTGTCAAATTTTTGGCATGGGTCTCTTAACAGTTGGTTTTATGTAATCACTGTCATTTGTTGAAGCTCGTGACCTTCACTGGAGAGAGTGAATCTTTGTATCCCAGTTTATGGTTTAGGGTTAGAATTAAATGCCCTAACTTCTCAGGAATGAGATTAAAGCAGCTAAGACCGTGGATTTCAGTGGATAGGTCCTGTTTCATGGTCAAGTGGTTAGTTGACATGGAGGATATATTTCAGTCCAATGACCAATGGATTTTTTGGTCTTCAAGACAACCATAGTATCAGTAAATTATATTTGGAATCTAGATATGACTGGGAGAGGAAGCTGAATTAAACAGAATTCAACTGCAATCTTGACGGTCATGTAAGGCTCAATCACGGATGATATGTGCATTCTAATTATGGCCACTTATCCTCAGCCGTTGACCTTAGAATGGTATTTTAGGGTTCAATCCTTTATAGTCAAGGGGAAAAAATGAGTGACCTGAAGTACTGTACCTACATATACCTATAATGAGGTTCCCTATCAGTAAGAAATGTGAAAGATGAAGTATGAAGCTCTTATTTAAACCCTGAGATGTCTGAGGCAAGATTTGACTGACTTCAGAGTATACTTAATGTACAGTCTCGTTCAAGATTCTTCGAACACTGCTGGAGACAGCTAGCAACTCAAGGTCATTAATTAAGCAACAGGGAACTAAGTAACCCATCACCGATCACTTTTACATCCGTTCATAATTTTTACTATGTACTGTAGTAAACAAACGGCCTCGAGTTGCCAGCTGTCTCCAGCATTGTTCGAAGAATCTTGAACGAGACTGTACCTGTTGACTTCTTGGCCAGCAAATGTTAATAGTAATTGACACTGATCCAACAGCCCCATAGGGACTACTAGCCTGGGGATCTCATAGGTCAGCTGTCTCTTTTCATCAGCTAGAAAATGGGATTTCTTCATACTTTAGCCATTGATTTGGTGTTGTGTATAGATTCTGATTCGGATATCTTATGCTAAAGGTGACACATTGCTCTAATTTATGTCTGTCAGTGTCAGGTGTGCAGATGGTAAAGAGGAGAGGAGGAAGCATTATACCTTGGGAAATTATTATTATTATTTATATTTTTTATTTTATTGATTCATTTTTTTCACAGAAAAACATTATATTTCACCTTATTGAGTACAGTACTGTATCACTCTTTGGGATCTCCTTGTTACGAAATTAAAGATACTCTCCCACTTAACCAGTTATTTGCTTTGCTTTTATTTTATGGGCTATAACTATTGTCAAATTATGTGTGTAATTTGTTAATGCTCTATGATTAAAATAACGTGATACAGGTAGCATCACCTTTAGCCGGAACAATTGGTGCAGAGCACTTCCGGGAATGAGAGATTTACGGCTCAACGAGACAACTCTCTCAAAGCCAGAAAAAATCCCTCAATCCTGGAATTTTCCGGGCAACGGAAAAATTTTCTCGGAAGTTCCAGAAATTGCCCATTGCACCATCTTTCGAACCCAGAAAAATATCCCTCATCCTCGGAATTTTCCGGGTAATGGGAAAATTTTCCAGGAAGTTCCAATAATTGCCCATTACATCATCTCTCGGATCCGGAAAAAACTCCCCCATCCCCAGAATTTTCCGGGTATCGGGAAAGTTTCTCAGAATTTTCCGGAAAATTTGCCCTTCGGAAAATCTTTCCCAAAGCCATAATTTTCCGGAAAAATTCTGGCTTTGGGAACGATTTTCTGAGAAAATTTCAATTCCGGCTATCGGAGATTTCCAGGTTTGAGGGATTCCTGCTAACGGAGATATTGCTGTATTTTAGAAATATTTTATGTATATTATTTAAGTAATGTTTTGTGCTTAAATTTCATAAGTTCATGTACAAATCTTTCCAGACATTTGTGTCATTATAAATTATAGATAATGTGCACAAATTTGATAAGGTTATGAATATATTCTTTCAGATATTTGGAAGTCACCAAAACATGGATAACTTCCAGATTTTTGACAGTGGAGAGAGGACCACAGAGAAACAAGGAGTCCACACTGCAGAAGCTCTCCACTTGCTAGAATCTGATCTGAAAGGCTGTTTGCTTGGGTTAGCTACAAGTTTGTTTGGTCAAGGTATAATAATAAAGTTCTGTCCCAGAGGAGCTAAAGTTTGCCTAACTGGTAATTCGATGCATAAAGTATACTTACTACAAGGTATTCACTTTCACTCGTGCTGAAACATACTTTTATACATTTTCAGAATGTGTGTACGGGTATGTCTCAGTAGTTTGAAAAGTATGATTCTTTGACTAGAATGTATCTTTGTTTAAATGGGTTACTCCTTAGAATACATTGACACAAAACTATGCTCGAGTACTGTAATATAATACTGATTGTCTCTGACCACAAACTTTTTTTGTATCTTCATTTTTTCCAACTTATTGCCAGAGCTTTGGCTTCTATTTGACTTGGAAATTTTGGCAGGACCAAGTGTCACTATCTGTGATATTCTTGTACTGTATTTATTTATTTTATTTTTTATTTATTTATTTTATTTATTTTTAGTTTTCTTTTTCTGTGCCACTTGCTGAAATAAATACTCGGTAGTAATATCTGACCTAGTGCTTGGACCGAACAACAACTTGCATATTTATCCAGCAAGTCTACAGGTTGGAACCTTGGTACATCATAGATATATTATCTCGGACTGTTACATGAATTAGTTATACTATACTGTATAGGTACTATATAGTATAACTGTTTTAACCACGTCTCTAAAAACAGATCTCTAGGAACAACAATCACCATTCAAGGTTAAAGGCTAGAAATTGTGATGTCACATCAGCTTAAGGGGCTTTACACTAGCACATTTTTATTCCAACCTCCAGCTTATTTTTGCCATTCTTCAGTTTGTTTTCTGACGGTCGGAGAACTCCCATACCTACATTTGGGTTTCCTCTAGCTAAGCTGGACATATGACCTGGGTCATATGAAATTCTTTACTAACTCCAATTTTCAATAAAATATTAATAAATTTTGTCTTTAACCTGGTATAATTAGCAAGTAAGAAGAAGTATGGTATATCGTATTGAATAAAGAACCGGAAGCATCTCGTATTTAGAAAATAAGGGAATACCCCACATTTTATTGTCATTTTTAGCAATGGGATGTTCAATCATTGCCAGTAATTCATAGAAGTGGTGTCTGTCTAGTCGCATCCAGTGTCTGTAGCTCTTGTGATCTAGAGCTACTCCTACACTAGCTTCTTGAATACAATTTGGCTCTGTTGAGCTCTTTTTGACAGCCAGTGCTGCCAAGAAGAGTTTTCCTTGTTTGCACCTTTTCCTGTGCAAAGCAAGGTGAAGAATTGCTGCTGCAGCTTTCTCCCTTGAGTAGCCTGTCGTCCGTAAGAGTGCTGCCATGTTTGTTGTTATGGTTTGAGGTTGAAGATGGACTTAGGCAAGGAGTGTGTGTGTGTGATAGTCCATTTTCGTAGATGGAGCAAATCTGATTGGAGGACGGGGGTTGGAGGAAAAATCATATTTGTGAAAGCCCATTTATGCATACTGTACAGTACAGTACTTGTTTCTTTGCCTTTCAATAAACATTGCAGGAGATAAAAAGTAGGTGTCTGAGTTTTTCACTTATCAGGAGTTTATGGTTATTAGAATTTCAGATGAAAAAGGTCCTCCAATATCATGTTTATTTTTTAATAAATATGTCCTCAATAATTTTTCACTTACTGTACATTAGTTCAGTACAGGTATGTGGCAACAGGCAGCACACATGTTCTGAAGAGCAATTATCTAGTTTAAACTAGGATATTATTATAAGTTATGGAAATTGATATGTTTTAAACGACAAAGATGGTTCAAGTCATTACTTGATTTTTTTTTTATAGAAGTCAGAATGAAAAAAAAAACAGGAACATCAAACTTAACCTCTTTACCCATATAACCTGCCTATAAGGAACAGCACTTGTCCAGTCATGTAGAAAGAGTTGTTCCTCAGACTGATTATTTCAGGACATGGGTCTTTACCTCATCATCAGATTTGGAATCTCTGGCTACCTAACGTGAACAGGTAAAAATACTGTACAGCAAATCCTTGTTTTTCTGTAAAGTTGCATTTATAAAGGGTTCACACAATTACAAAAGCAATTACTGTATCTAATGGGGAAAATACAGGTTAATGGTCAATAACTATCAGGACCATTCTCTAATTCAGTTTTCCCCTCCTCCCCTCCCCTATACAGTATATGGTAATATTCTGTTGCACCAATTGTAATTTTAAATATATAAATTACCATAAAGAAATCTTCACTCTTCAGTAGATTAATAATTTATTAATGTCATACCATGGAGCATGGCTGTTGGGTGGATACAGCACTCTCCTGCTTTTCCTGAGGTTGGTGGTTCAATTCTTGGTTGCTCCCAGTTCACCCAGCTCGCTTGGGGAAGTAAATGCGGTCGAGAGTAGTACCGACCACGCTGCTTAATTTACAGTGTGCTGTACCCTACACAGATAGCCTTCAAGTGTGCTGAGAGGGAAAATTGCTCTTATCAAAGTTTCCAGTTCATGAACCACAATAGAGACAATTCCTCCTCACACCATTGACCTTTCGAAGAAACCTTGAAGATCTTAAACAAAATGAATGATTCCCAAGAAAAGTTAGATTTTTTTCCTTGTAGTGGGGTTCAGATTGCATTGTAAGTGCATATGCTCCCTTTTATTTTATTTTTTCTTGAACCCTTTTCCTCCAAGGGATTGTTTTGATAGGAAATTGAGGAATTAAATTAGTGCCATCCTAGAATCAGTTCCAAATGGCTTTAAACTTGGTTTGACCATTCTGTTGGGCAAATTAAAAACAGCCGTGTATCACATCACACATCTGAATTTTACACCTTTACACACCCTAACCTCAGTGGAAAGTGAATCCAGTTTGATAATGAGGTCAAGACTTATGTGCTAAAATTGTTCATGCAAAAATAGAAGAACCTTTTTAAACTGCTGGTATTTATCTTTGATACATTGATCCTATGCTATACTGGAAGGTTATGTGGAGAGACTATCAGTAGTTAAGTATGAATGAAAGCCTGGAATGACTTGAATTGCCCTTAAATAATGATAATTTATAAATATTTCATAATATTGGACCTCTCACTGCACAAACAACTAAGCAGTCAAAGTACAGTGTTAAGTAATGTGGGAATCTTGATTCACTTTGTCTTAATGTGATTTAAGGATAATTGAATGTTAATGTAGTTGCTTATAAAATTTTTTGCACATGTTTTATAAAATTTATTTTGGATGGGAAAAGGCTTATTAAATGACTGATAGTTTTTATTATTACAAAAACTTATATTTACATTCCATTGACTCTTGACAGATATTGAAGCAAGATGGGTAGATGCATATTTTCCTTTCACACACCCATCATGGGAACTGGAAGTGAAGCTCAATGATGTGTGGGTGGAACTACTGGGCTGTGGCCTCATTGAACAAGAGATCCTCTTCAACAGTAAGTCCAATATCTACCGATGTAAATGTATGTTCTTTATGGTTGATTTAGGATATTAGACTTGTACATTTGACATACTTACCAAGCTGAGACTAATATAACAGTCAAACTAGTGTGACAATGGTAATGTTGACATTATGAGTCAACCACACCAATACGTGTGCATAAAGAATTAGCATATTTATTGGGCTACAGGGAAAATATATATGTAAATCTTGCCTCACATTTGAAGCTCCTCAGCTTTATTACTTTTAGTTTTATCCCCTTCGCCACTGATTGGTGTGTTAGCCACTTGGGCGGTCGGTCACGTCTCTGTTACACACTGTTGGCAAATACCTATATTGTACTGTATTATTATTATTATTATGTGGACACCTATTACCCAGAAAGTCTAATCATCTGTTTTATTCACAAAAAATTCCATTCTGAAAGTAAAACCACTTCCTGAATGTGGAAGTTTGTAAGCCGTCCACCAAATGGTCATTGTTTTGATCTAGTTGATGCCAATCAAACTGGAGCACAAAATACCCCCTGCCTTATTTTTGTTTTATACCTTTTAAAATTAGATATGCCTTTCAAACTGACTGGGAAAAAAAAAAAAAAAAAGCAAAGCTTTAACAAGTTAAGGCCCCCCAAAATGCTCAGTACAGTATTGGGCAAAAAGTAGACTTCAAATGATGGATTGAGCTTGGCTGCTTGATGTGAGTTTGAAGTAAAGAGAACTATGTGGGACATTTTATGGCAATGACGATCTGTTTAAGTACTACTGTGTTCGGCAAGTGAGAGTGGTAGAGGTGCCCTGTGAGTGAATATAAAATGCACATTGTCGTAAGCCAAAACTTGAAAACTATACAGTACAGTACATTATTATGTTATGTGGGAATGGTACTAGAGGTACTGCTGCATTATTATTACAATATAATTACTGTACAGTATCATTATTTTTATTATTACAGTATTATTATCATTATTATTATTACAGTATTATTGTTATTACAGTATTATTGCTATAGCAGTATTATTGTTATTATTAAATTGCTGCCCTATTCCTGGGAAACATTATAATTATCTGGACTTTTTCATTATCCAGATGTCTCTAGGTCCCAAAGATTTTGGATACTATGCTATTGACTATGTTATGATAATGATACACCATTAATGTGTGAACTTGTACTGTTACTATCTTATGTTTATCAATTCTAGGGGGTGTTGAGGACAAAATTGGCTGGGCCTTTGGTTTAGGATTAGAGCGATGGGCTATGAAGCTGTTTGGCATTCCAGACATCAGACTCTTCTGGTCCACAGACTCGGGTTTTCTCTCCCAATTCCATTTTGATGATCCAACAAAACCTGTCAAGTACAAGGTAAGCTTTTAACTTTTGGTAACAGTTATGATTTTTCTCTCTTCAAAATATAAGAGCATGTTGCATAAGAATTATATTAATTCTTACATTTCAAGGTTCCACTAATCATTGATTTTTTAACTGTTTGTTTTATAAGTTATTTGGCGAGTAATGTACAGTAAAACTTTGATAATGTGAGAGTATTGTTCTTGTACAACTCCATTAAAGCCATTCGACATCCCCAAATGTTAATGGATGATGGTAACAATGCTTCCATATGAAGTGCCATCCTCGGTGCTTAATGACTTTGACATTCTGGTCTGGTTTAATCAAATTCTCATTGATGGCATCTGAAGTTCATCCTGACCTGACCCACCTTGTAATGATGGCATATGAAGGAGCATTTCTGCCATACACTTCCAACATGTGTTGATGAATTTCCTTTACTGTGGAATCTACTTTTTTCAGGAATTTTACAGCTCTGATACTTAATACATATACAGTACCATATTCTGTAATGTACACATGTAAATCAGTGCAAAGAGTCTACACCTCTGGGTGCTGGGTTCGAACTCGGCACCCAGATGTGTAAATTATTTACATCTTATATTTAATTTTTTCAAAATTTGTAATGACCTCAGTCATCATACGGTACTTTAAACTTTTACTATAAAACAATAAATTTTATCACACTAGTCAAATTAACTGAAATAAATACCCAGGTATTCAAATTTTATTCTCCCCCCCAAAAAATTAGAACCCTGCCATTTTGCTTTACCCCTGAATTGTTATATGCTTTGATTTGCTCTCATAGCAACTACACTAAAATTTTTTTTATATATAATATAGCACTAATCAGCCTTTAATTTAGTTTTGTACTGTATTTGCAGACTGTGAGTAAGTATATGCAGTGCAGCAACGACATCAGTTTTTGGCTCCCAGCAGATGGCCAGTACAACTCCACAGATTTTTTTGATCTTGTACGCACTGTTGGAGGTGACACTGTGGAGCAGGTAAGATAACATAAATGCCCAACTGGTTACTGATAATATTGTTGATACAGTAATATCTCCGCTTGCTATAACCCCTCAAACCCGGAACTCTCCCATAGCCGGAATTGAAATTTTCTCGGAAAATCATTCCCAAAGCCAGAATTTTCAAAAAATTTCCAGCTTTGGGAAAAAATTTTCTGAGGTTGAAAATCGAGAGCATTTTCTGAAAAGTCTTGAATAAAGATGAAAGCTACAGTATTTACATTCCATCTCTCTTAATTAACCACACCTTTCTGTTTTTTCACTCCATATTTTAAGATGTTATGTAACATAATGTTGAAGGGCTACAACTTTGCTCATTTATATTTATACTTATCACAATCTCCCTAAAAATACTTAGGTTTTGTGTTTATTCAAGATATCTTCAGGTCATGAGACCCACTAATCCCCCACCCAAGAAAGGGTGACCTGAGATTCCATCAGAAGGTCACTAATATGAGACTACAAATCCTCCACCCTACCCCCGCCTGACATTGTGTCAGGTCAGGTCAGTTACATGAGACCCACTAATCCCCCACAGCTCCATGGGAGTGAAAAATAAAAGCCTTTGCTGTAACACACAGCTTCATTCATGCTCATATCCTATACATTTTTAATTTTTAAATACAGTAAAGCCTTGAATAACGACGTTAATATGTACTCCAATATTGCAGTGTAAGGTGAATCGTCTTATTGCGAATCATTAATTACCATTAAAATAAAAGCAATACAGGGTAATAATGAGATGCGTTCCCAAGTGTGACCTTTTCATATCTTTTGTGTGGCTTTTTACCCTCTTTTCCCCCAAAAACAATACAATTAATGAAAATTGCAAACTATATTCTTTAAATAATGTTTCTGAATGCACCTTATACAATATAAATGAATAATAATATGGTCACACAAGAGGAGGTGGGATGCCATTGTTTTCGTTTGTTTACAGCTGGGAGTCCAGGACAATAGTTCTACACGAGAAAATAAAGAAAATAAGACCCTGGTTGTAGCTGTAGTAAAAGTAATGTAAAAAAATGAATACAGCAACTCCCCGACTTATGACCTGCTCCATCTACGATCACCCGCACTTACCACCTGCCTCAGTTCGTAACGACCACCCGCACATACGACCGTCGCATTCGGTACCAAAATTTTTTTCAAATGACGCGCACATTTTCTAGACCGAAACGTTTCCGTCCTGTACGAGAGCATTGTGTGGCTTGGGTCGCCTCGTGGCTACATCACCCATGCCGTAGAACGCTTAGTTGGTGTTTGGCTGCTGTTGTATCCGCAACTGATTGCGCTGTGTACTGACATTATTTTCTTATTTAATTGACTTTAGAATGACTGGAAAGTGTACAAGTGAGAGTACTGGTAGTGCTCAGAAGAAAAGGAGACAGTCAATTACTTTTGAGACGAAAATGAAGGTAATAATGTAGTATGAAAATGGAAAAACTGTAGCAAAAATTTCACGCGACCTAGGCTTCTCGCACTCGACTATATCTACTATTTTGAAGGACAAGGAACGTATTCGTGAGGTAGTGAAAGGATCAGCACCTATAAAGGGAACTATAATAATGAAGAAAAGACAAGGTCCCATTCATGAGATGGAAAAATTACTTGTGATATGGATGGAAGACCAGATACAAAAGCATGTACCCTTAAGCCTTCTAACCCTACAGGTTAAGGCAAGAAGCCTTTTCGAAAGCCTGAAGGAGCAGGCAGGAGATGAGTGCGAGCAAACCTTCACAGCAAGTCATGGGTGGTTTAACAGATTTAAGAACTGCTACAGTTTACATAATGTTAAGGTGAATGGAGAGGCAGCTAGTGCTGATGTTGGTGCTGCCAAAGCTTTTAAGGAGGAGCTAGATCGCGTCATTGTGGAAGGAAATTATTTGCTTGAGCAAATATTCAATGTGGATGAAACTGGATTATTATGGAAGCGCATGCCTGAACAGACATACATCCACAAAGAGGCGAAAACAATGCCAGGATTCAAGGCATTTAAGGACCGAATTACACTTATGTTGGGGGAATGTAGCTGGTTTCAAGATAAAGCCCTTTATGATCTATCATTCAGAGAACCCCAGGGCTTTTAAACATGTCAGCAAGCGCACACTGCCAGTGTTTTATCGAAGTAACAAGAAAGCCTGGATGACCCTAGTACTGTTTGAGGATTGGTTCATGACTTGTTTCAGTCCTTGAGCCAAGGAGTATTGTCTGCAACAAGGTATTGCTTTCAAGATTTTGTTATTTTTGGATAATACTCTGGGACACCCACCACACCTGGACGACATGCACCCTGATGTTAAGGTAGTGTACATTCCACCTAACACTACCTCTGTCATCCAATCCATGGATCAAGGTGCTATTGCAGCTTTTAAAGCTAGTTATTTACGTACGACCTTCGCTCAGGCTGTTGCTGCTACAGAAGGTGAGAAAATGCTCAGGGAGTTTTGGAAGAACTACAACATTTTGAAATGTATAAAGAACATAAGTGCAGCATGGGATGAGGTTACAGAACAGTGCATGAATGGAATATGGAAGAAAGTCCTGAAAAGATATGTGAACAGTTTCAGAGGATCTAATGAAGATGAAGTAATTTCTGAGATTAGTAACAAGATAGTGGAGTTGGGTAAACAACTTGAGTTAGAAATTGATAATGAAGATGTTGAACAGTTGGTGGAAAGTGTAGCAGAAGAGCTAAGTAACGAGGCTCTTATCGAACTGGAAGCACAGAAAAATGCAGAGGAAGAAGAGAGTAAATGTAGAAGAAGAACCTGCACCCCCAAAAAATTTTCGGTGGAGCAAATGGCAGAGGCATTTGCTACAATTAACAAGGGGATGCAAATGTTTGACGGAATGGATCAAAATGTTGAGCGTTTTGCCAAAGTTGACAGAATGGTCCAAGATGCACTTGCTTGCTACAGGGAGATTTATAATGAAAAGAAAAAGCAAACTGTGCAGTCTAAATTGGACATCTATTTTAAGAAGTCCCCCATTGCTGTCTCCTCACACCCCACCAGTGCTGCCTCTTCACTCCCTAAAGATGATCCAATACCTTCAACCAGCAAGTTTCCCCTGCACTTAAACCTGTCTGAAGAAAGAGACATTGAAGACCCACCTAACCCTGTTTCCTCCTCTGCTTCATCCAATTAATATAGTCTCCATGTATACCTGTAAATAGAAAATTATGGGGGCCCCGTGTGCATTCAGTTGACTACCGGTACATTAAAGGTAAGTGCACAGAAACACTGTTTCCATTCTTCATTATTGATTACTTTTAATGTACTGGAAATATTTTCGGCAAAAGGACGTAATACAAACACATTTATGAATTAAACTAATATTTTTTTAACACATACATTGCTTATTTTATGATATAATATGATAATAAATATACAAAACACTTGAATTTAACTTACCACAAATGATGTTGAGTGCTGCGTTAGGTGAGGTGATGAGGTAAGGTGGTGCAATTGAAGTTACTGGGAGGGAGACGCAGGGGCACTACTGGCTTCTGCCTCGCCCTGTACAGTATTGTAGCAACCACCAAGAAATCATCAAAAAAAATTTTTTATCATTTCTGTGATTTTTTTTCTTATACCTGTAGAATTGAAAAAAAAAATGAATAAATTACCGTACCCAATTTCTGCAAAGGCAAATTCTTTGTCCTTATCCCGAATTTATTGGTCATAATTTACAAAATCCGTAAGAGCGAATTTCCGTTATCAGAGTTTCAGTAACCCAGAGGATGCCTGTACAATATTGCTAACCTTGCATTTAATATATACTGTACCTTCCAACACAAGTACGTATCTTATATTCCTACACTACATATACAGTACAGTACACATATATCATAAAAATGTTACATGACTGACATTTTTTATTGCCATATTTGAAATCAGCCCAAAATTAATAAAGCGCAGCATATTTGATCCATGTTACCGAACCCTTGTCAACTAGTGCTATATAAATCATGTATTTACCTATGAGAACATAATAAGAAACATTGTATCTTTACTAAAGTGAATTAAATAATATTCCCAAAAACAACAATTGATAACTCTCGGGCGCCTGTGTCCCACGTTGACATATCATCGGAGGACAAATTTTGTCCTTCTTTCTTTTGGGGGGTGGGGGCAAATAATTTTGTCTGGCTTAAGCGGTGTCCACCTTAGTGGGGTCTGCCTTAACGAGGTTTTACGGTATTTATAGGAACAGAGAGAATAGGGAGGAAAATGTTGGGATAAGCAGAGAAAGCCAACAAAGTGAGATGGGTGGGTGGGAAGGCAGGATGATTGAGCAAAGAGTTAGGTGGGAAGAGAGGGAGGATAGGAAGTGTGGGTTAATTTTATCATGAAATGTTTTTACAATACTCATACATGAATGCGTATTGGGTATATACAGTATATGGTACATTACAGAGCTGTTATGGTTATTTATCAAAATTAAAATTCATATTGAAGACTTCAAAATATTTATTGTCATAATAGCGACTGAAGAAAAGGTTAAGCTTTTGCTCCCAACCCTCTGTGCAAGTTTTATTCAAATGTTTATTTTATTCACCATGCACACTACACTATAAGTAAGGCCTCAATAAATCAGACTTTATTATATTGGAATTCGCTTTTTTTGGACTCTGGGATACTCTGGTTACCAGAAATAATAATAAAAAAAAAAGAAATGGGGAAGATTAATAAAAAATTTAACAACCCTAAGGAAAAGAACCACGCTTACTGAATACTGTACCGTAAAGTGGTCTAATCAGATTTGCTATAGGCCTACTGAGAACTAGGACACTTGAGTATGTAAGGAGGTTGGGAATGATCAGGTGTTGCCACATTTGTCAGGTTTCTTTATTTATTTATTGATTCAGTATTATATTCTCATATGATTGGCCTCTTATGGTTCATCATGATAAATATAGCATCTTCAGTAAAAGAGAAAAAATACAATACTGTATGTAAATTGTAATATGACTTGAAAATAAAAGGGTAAGCTGTATCAAAAGGTTGCTTACTGAAGATGCATTCATGTTAGAGCTTTCAGTAGACCAGCTTACAACAGGGGTCACTATAATACACTGTATAATATTTGATATAAAGATACCTTCCTAACACTGTTATTTACTACCTTAGAGTGTTATATGATGGCTCAATTTGGCTACTTGTACACTTATACAAATGATTAATATATAAACCAGGGTATATGCAGGTACACAATATTGTACACTACAATATTACTTATTAAGTGACAATTAATACACTACAATAGCATTTATTAAGTGGTGATAAACACAATACAATAGTATACATGACTGTACTGTACAGGGTACTAATTTACTAAGTGTTGAACACACGTTGTGGTAAGCCAATCAGCTGTTTGCTCTTTGTAACCAATGACTCATGGTATTCAGTGAGATTCTTTTTTTCAGGAGAGCTTTACTTTTACCTACTTTTGCTTTTATCCTCTTCGCCACTGATCACCTCGTTAGCCGCTTGGGCGATTGGTTACGTCTCTGTTACATACTGTTGGCAAGTACTGGGCATGCACTAGCTCCTGAGTGTATCTGAACCCGCTCCAGTGTTGGTCAAGTCTGGTCTTGAAAGAGCTCACACTCGGTGCCGTCACAACACTCTCTGGCTGATTGTTCCAAGAGTTAACAACTCTTACTCCGAAAAAGTTACCCCTCACAGTTATCCGGATTGTTTTAAAATAATATTTTATCAACCTTGTACCAAATGAATCTAAATTATATGAGAATTATGGTGGAAATGCATAAAGAATTGTTAAAGGTATATTTGGGGTTGGGAGTCACCCACCTGTGCTAATCTCCCCCCCCCCCTGCTCCCAGATAAACACTCGTCCTCCACATACATTATACTCCTACACTTATTTGTTCTTATTTTTATCTTTATAGTACTATACAGTTAACAGCTTTCTCTTTAATCATAAGAAAATTTTTGTGGTTGCATACATATAACACTACAATAAATAACAAGCGACTCGGTGAAAACAGTCGTTGACAAATAGACTTAAGTGTGATTTTCAACCCAGAAAATTGTTTCATATTTTATTGTTGCCATAATATTCTTTTATTAACCTTGTTATGCACTTAAATACCTTAGTTGTTGAAGTGCACTAATAACATAACAACTGATTTTCTTTTTTAAGCAGTTTGGATAAGCAGTGGTATCTCCACCGCCCCCCCCCCTGTCCTCTTCCCCCCCAAATATTTGCTTTTTCGGACTGGGGTCTGCCCCAATTAGTCCAATTTATCGAGGTTCGTGCATTTCATCATGTTACTACACAATAAACTGTATGGAGAGATAATAGGAAATTTAATTACTAATTAAGTTAAATGTAACCTTGTAATAATTGTAACATTAACCCTTTGAATTAGGGACTTACTTTTCAAGGTGAAAAGTTACATAAATGACATTTTATCGGATGGAAAGGGGTTGAAGGGTCCAAGACTCGTTCGAATTCCCGGTTCTTCACTGGCCTGACTTCAAAACTTACCCTGTCCCCAGATTAGTGGTTTTGGCTGTACAGTAATTCATAAGTCAGCAGTGCACAGTATAAGTAATTGTATTAGATATTAATGTGTTTTTACTGTAGCTTGTCATTGGGCTTTTTATACTGAAATCTTGTTACAGGTTCATCTGATCGATGCTTTTACACACCAAAAGAAGAAGCTAACATCTCACTGCTACCGCATAGTTTACCGTCATATGGAAAAGGTCCTCACTCAAGAAGAAGTCAATATTTTGCACAGAAGAATTGAAGAGGAGGCAGCAGCAAACTTAAATGTCACCATTAGATGAAACGGTATCAAATATATTAAAGTGTAGATGTTATGAATTAAGTTTGAAATAAAGTGCTTCATGTACAAATTCATTTCCGGGTAAGTATGTTTTATGCCCAAAAATCATGTAAGACTTATCAAACACAAATTTCTCCTTCAATAAACTCCTCTCTGTACAGTAGTAACCCTTCTCAACTTTTCTGCCTTAATAATAATTTAATTATTAAAGTGTTTGCAAGCAGTGTTAACTTTCTACCTTATTGGGTACTAGAGCGATCATGATTTATATATGGTTGGCCACATAGGATTGTGGCAGAATGCATGTACAGTATTTAGTCACATTACATGAATCTTCAAGCCAAATGAATTTTTCATCCTGACCTTATTTTCTGTTGCATACAGTAGACTTTCGCTCTTTGCAAGGGTGAATGCATAGTTGTACACTGTAAATAGACAATTTGGTTCAATGGGAAAGATGGGATTAGGATCCTGGTACACTGAATGAACATCAAAGTACCGTCCTCATATCTGAAGGTTGGCGACCACAGTCCTCCACTCTAAACATTTTCAGGCTGTTTTTACCAATCCTCAGAGATTTTCTATCTCTCTGAAACCAAGTTTTAATTTCAATTGTATATCCAAGTCTCTGCTTTACCCTGGTCCTTCTACCCTAAACTTTGCTCGTTAATATTTCTGTTATTATCCACTCATCCCTAATTACATATAGGACTAAATTATCTCATTTTTCTTTTTATGTATATTTCAAGTATCTCACTTGATGTTTTTGCTATTCTTAGTACTTATTCACTTGTTTTCCTTTCATTGTAACTTATTCTTAACATTTGCCTATAACACCACATTTCAAAGGTCTCTAACCTACACTGAACATGGGGAATGGTAAATGTTTTAAGAACAATAACTATATAATAAATACTGTACAGTATGTGTAACTAATAATAAACCATAAAGAATAATGCTGATGGAAGTGGTGTTGGAGGGGAAATTAGATGGATGTCTCCTCGAAAAATGCAGCTGTATGAGGATGGCTGGGGTAAGCTGTACCTCTTCTTAAATTGTGCAAACCATCCCTTATTGTCTTGAAATTCAGTAGGTTGCTGTGCTTCAAGATGTTTATACAAGTTGATATTCAACCCACAAATTTAAGCCTTTCTCCATGTTCTCAATGTTCCTGACACACACACACACACACACACACACACACACACACACACACACACACACACACATAGTTGTTATCACTTTACCTCTTTGGGAAGCACTAAACAACACTTTTCTTGACAGATTTTTCATTGTGTATCTGACAAATGACTTATTGCCACTAAAATATTTGCCACTGCAGACCCACTCTCACCAGTAGCCAGCATGTGTAACAAATTCAATTTGTCATAAAAACTCCCTCTTTTTCTTCTATCTTTTTCCAGCAAATTCACTTTTTCCACAATGGAGCCTGAACTCAGTGGAGGCTTAGGAGCCATGATTAAGGGTAAGTTAACAAGTACAGGTACTCCTCAACTTAACGACCTATTCGACTTACGACCGCCGCAGCCATACAAATTTTTTTTCAAATTATGAATTTTTGAGTCCCGACGTTAGTGATCGTGCTGTGTACTGACAAAATGTTGTTTGTAATTCCCTTTAAAATGGCTGGCAAGCGTAAATGTGAGAGTTTTCGTGGTGCTGAGAAGAAAAAGAGACCCAGAAATTTATGTAAATCTACCCAAAAGTACAGTTGAAAATTTTTTACATTATTAAAATGTACTAATGTACTAAAATTTTTATCTCTTGTGCAAAATATATGATGTTTATATTGAAATTAATCAATATCTTATAAGAATTCCAGAAATGTAAATTTTATTTTCCCCTGTCACTTCTATGACATTTTATAAGCAAAAAACGAAAACTCAATCTAAAGGACAAATAAACAAATAAGTGCTTCACTAGACCTTCGGCTCCAACTGTCAAACATGTCACTGTCACCTCCCCTCCCTCCCTCCCTCCCAACCAGGGTTTGGTGGTGGTAGGCTTACAGTTTTTATCTTTTATAATATCACAGACTAAAGTTAGGAGAATATAATTTGCATTGCTGAAATCCTTGCAAGACGGTGAATAATTTGAATATAAATGTCATATATTTTGCACGAGATAAAAATTAATCACCTGTATCACATTACAGGAGTGATTTAAGAGTTTTAGTGTATATATTTTATATATATACAGTGGTCTCTCGGTTAACGAACACAATTCGTTCCAGAAGGTCATTCGTTAACCAAAAATTTTGTTAACCGAAACCATTGTTTCAATGGGATTTTGGGTAATTGGTTCCAGCTCACCGAAAATTAGATACAAAGTAAAAATAAATGCAGTAAAGTACACTTACTTTGAGGTGTGTATGTAGAAGGGTCCTGGTTGATGATGATGATGATGGGAATTAGAAGTGGGGGTGGAGGAGAAGGGAGAAGAGAAGGAAGTGGGGGTGGAAGAGAAATCACCCCATTCTTCATGCCGTCATTTCACCCATAAAATTTTAAGTTCACTTGGTGTAATTCAAGATTATTTTCTTTAAATCAACACTGCACTGCACTATATATTGTCAATATGTAAAATAAATTTCAGAATGACCAATAATTGTACAGGTAATGTAAAAATAGTTTATGTTCAAGAGAGTCTCAAGCACAATGTTACCTCTACTGACCAGAGATACAAACTGATGCCTGTTTGGTGAGTTGAGTGGCTGTTTGGCGCACGAAAAACTAGTTTCCTGTACTTCAATTATGTTAAATAATTGTTAAAATTACTAAAAATTTTAATATTAAAACTTGGAAAATTATTGAATAGTACAACCTTCTTGATATTTACTCAGATGGGAACGAATTTAAGCCCTAGAACTGATTACTGTATTGGCGGACTAATATTCTAGCTGGTGAGGAAGCGAAAACATTTTGAGAGGAATTCGTAAGGAATTCGTTAACCGAATTGAATATTCTTATGGAAGGTAATTCGTTAACCGAGGGACCACTGTACAGTATATATATTTTGATTTAAGGGCGATTTCGAGGATTTTTAGGAGTGTTTTTGACTTTATGCATTTTTTGGCTTTACTTTGTGTGTACTTTTTCTGTTAATTGGCACCAATTATTTTTGCATTTTCGACTTAAGACCTGGTCATTGGTCCCTAACCCCGTCATAAGTCGGGGACTGACTACTGTATAAGCTAAATATTTGGAAAATATTAAGTAGCAAGGAGCTGCAAGGTGTTAGTGGTGTGCAGTTTGCTGCAGGAAGGATAATGGACTTTTCAATACTGTACTGTATATTCCCAATAATGATGACTTTTTGCCCAATTATAATTTGTGGCCTGAGCTAGTAAACTCCTTTAACCCTTAACCGGCAACTAAGGACTACCGTTCTCCATCCCCCCCTACACTCCCCACCCCCCAATGTAAGGGGGGAGGTTTGAGTGTTTCGTATTCTATTTATATGTTCTTATATTTCTTTTTGTTATTTTCTAAGTTAATATTCTTTTCTATGCTTTATTTCTTATATCATATATATTATTTTCTTTTCTAGATTTTATATCTTTTCTTTCTCTCAAATTATTATCATGCCTTGGTTATATTCTCTACCATGGATTAGTCTGGGAAAATCACGTCGTTCGTACTATAACACTTATTATACTTACAACGGTAGCCTGCCACCACCCAGATTTTTATTAGAATATAACGTATCTCATTGAACTTTTAGGTAGCGTGATAGCGAGATTCTAGGCACGTGAGTTACAATAGTTATTTTCTGAGAACCAAATTTAAGAAGGAATAGAGTGGTGATACTCATAGTTTACTAATTCAAAATTTATTAACATAAGGAGTGAACAAGATGTTAATTAAATACACCCAGACAAGACTGGACCACTTAGGTCTTACTTTTACAAGTAGCAAAATAGATATTCAATTCTTGGTTACAACATTAAACAATCATTACAGTGATCCCTCGGTTAACGAGTGCCTCGGTTAACGAGATTTCGGTTAACGATTTACCTTCCATAAGATTCTTAACTTTGGTTAACGAGCAATCCCTTGATTAACGAGTTTTTTACGAGCCAACTTCAACATGTTTTCGCTTGCATTTGGCGGTCCACCAGCTGTAGTATTTGTCCGCCAATACAGTAATCAGTTTTAGGGCTTAAATTCCTTACTATTTTAGTAAATATCAAGAGGTTTATACTATTCAATAATTTTAAAAGTTAAATATTAACTTTTTTAGTCATTTTGACAATTATTGAACATAACTGAAGGTAAAGAAACTAGTTTCTGGCGTGCCATCCAGCCTGTTAACACACCAGACAGGCGTTAGTCTCTCTCTGTTTTCAGTGGAGGTAACATCTTGCTTGAGACTCTCTTCAACTAAACGCTTTTTTTCTGTGTTTCCAAGCAAATTATTGGTCATTTTGAAATTTATTTTACATATTGATAATATATAATGCAGTGCAGTGCAGAAGAAAATCTTGAATTACACCAAGAAAACTAAAATTTTATGGGTGAAATGGTGCCATGGGGTGACTTCTCTTTCACCCCAATGCCTTCTCTTCTCCGTTCTCCTCCACCCCCAATCTAATTCCCATCATCATCATCATCATCATGGAGCCTTCTACATGCACACCTCAAAGTAAGTGTACTTTTCTACCTTTTTTGTTGAATTTTGGCAATTTTCGGTGAGCTGGAACCAATTACCCAAAAACCCATTGAAGCAATGGTTTCGGTTAACGAGCAACCTGCTGGAACGGATTGTGCTCGTTAACCGAGGGACTACTGTATATTATTTCATTGTCAACACAGATGGTTATATGACACACTTGACAATATCCCAAATTAACATATTATTTATAACATCATGTTATTTTGGAATGAACAACATGGCACTTTAACTAGAACTCAGTTGGTGGTACATATGAATGATGTACAGTACTCACAACCCACATAACAAATGTTATTACCGGTAATATCAATATTTATGGGTTCACTACTCAACATGGGACAACTATATCTCTGCTAATTATTCCTAATCATATATGTACACCAATACTGCATGGTACATATAACTGTGAGGAGTCACTGATGCTACACCAACAAATGGAGTGCACTGTTAGGGTCAAAATTCAAACAGACTACAGTCGGCCCTTAACATACGCGGGGGTTAGGTAACAGAGATACCCGTGAATGTTAAGAATCTGCATATCTTTGCTCCCCCCCCCCCCTAAAAACAGCCCTGGCCCCCCATGTCCTTATTTAAGTAAAGAAAAACACTATGTACATGTTTACAAACACTTTATTTTATATTAAAATGCA